TACCCAGAATTTCGCATACTATAGATATATTAGCAACTGACCCCTTGGATATATGTCGTACGCTGACTTCTGCAAGGAATTTGCCTCTATGAAGGATGACTGGTTACAGGGAGTTAGCAGTTGGCAGAATATGAGGGAGCCATGACCTACTCGAGTCGAAAGTGTTAAAGTACTGAGAGATGTATCTGTCAACTATCTTACGAGGAGGAACCAAAGCTAGGATCTGGTCTACGGGAAGACACGAAACATTAGCAAGTAGAGAGATTCTTGGTGCTGGCGACTGCTTTATCAAGCCATTAGCAAAAGGAGAAGACCCTTCACTGACAATATCAGAGACATCATCAGCAAGGTCATCTCTGAGTTGTTGGATCTAGGGTATCCTGTCAATTGAGAGTCTTCATAATGAGTCCTATTCTTACATCTTCCAATATTGTGGCCCAATGTGAGCTACCAGTGTACACAGTTTGGTCATCTGCCAGACTTAGGTTTCCCATTCGAACACTTGGTGATGTGCCTGATGTAGGAGGCTCAAAATGACTCGAGACTCTGTCTGCTTGGATTGTGTCGCTTAACGACTGGTTTGAGCTCTCAGCCTGATCTCTCAGTTCCGTCACCAGATTTTCAAGACGAGCTATTCTCTGGCGAGCTTTCTGGTTTCTATTGTGAGGCCTGTAATCGATGGCATCCTTGCGTTCTTGTTCCGAGCAAGTGAAGATACATTCGGTAGGTTTTCCGCGCCGTGTGCAGGCGCCGCATGGCGATTGTCTATCGCAACGAAGTCTGCAATGAAGTCAACACATATTAATTGTGTGTCTCTCCAGTTTGGTTGGCTTACTTGCGTCCCCTGCAGAAAGTGCAGCTGAGAATTGGCTTTTCACGTTTCCTTGTTTGAGGCTTCGATTGTGCTTGATGAATTTCCATGAGTTAGAGCGGTGAGGGCTTATTCGCCTCTCAATCTGACACAAATGATGAAGCTAGTGTAAATTGAAGGTTCACAACTGGCTGTGAAGTCATTTTCACTCATGATCCTAAGAGCCACACGTGATTCAACACCGATGATGCCCAACAGAAGAGAACACAATAAGATAGATTATATAGCTTGTCAAATATGCTGTTTGAGGTTCGGTTTAATATGCATCGTGAGAACCTCAAGTCAATCAGGAAATATGTCCTTGAGTGATGGTCTCTAATCTTGTTGAATAAACAATAATCATCAATTTCATATCGAGTAAGACGGATAAACGGAATGGAAACAATTAACTAAAGCTACTCAGCCTCTCATCTTTAGTTTCAAGCAGTAATAGCGGACAAACGAAGGATTTCCGGACATTGATCCTTCGTGGAGGGTCACCCAGCGGACGGTCGGACGGTCATGGTGTAAGCTCATTGGCCAATTATGACTGTCCGAAATACCATCTCTCGACGGACATTCTTTATGGATATCATGGCGGACATTTTGTGATATACCGATAATTATATATAACACCAAGAGAATTCGATGGTTCTATTATTTTCAAATCAAGAATATCTTACACAACAATCACATTCTACAACTATTCAGTGACTTGCTCAACAAACCTCAACGCCCCTTCTATTCAGGCTACACTTCTTTTATACCTATCACAATGATCTCCTCAGACAATGCCCTGGCCAATGTGGTCTACCCAAAAGGCATGAAGTTTGCCATATTGATGGTTTCACTCTATATCAGCATGTTCCTGGTCGCCTTGGTATGTCCTTTAAACACTTGATACTATCACACAACTAACTGTCTTCAGGACAAACTCATCATATCAACTGCTATTCCCGCTATCACGAACGACTTCCATGCCGCGAGTGACATTGGTTGGTATGGTACAGCTTACCTTCTTACCAACTGTGCCTTCTTGCTAGTATTTGGCAAACTATACACCATCTTGGATATCAAGACCACTTTTATGACTGCCATGGTACTCTTTGAGATTGGCTCAGCTGTTTGTGGTGCTGCCCCGAGCTCGATTGCTTTCATCATTGGAAGAGCTATCGCAGGCCTCGGCGCTGGAGGCACTCAATCTGGTATCGTGAGCTATTCTCCATTTAACCCCCAAACACCCTTACTTACACCGTTACAGCTCGTCATCATTGTCTACGCTGTCCCTCTTGAAAAGCGACCTCAGTACCAAGGTCTCTTCGGTGCAATCTTTGGAATTGCTTCTGCTGTTGGTCCTGTCATTGGAGGTGTCTTCACAACTCACGTCACTTGGAGATGGTGCTTCTACATCAACCTTCCCCTTGGCGCTGTTGTCTTGGCCTTTGTCTTCCTGTTTCTCCAAATTCCTCGTCAATCGACCGAGAAGACCGGTCTCATGTACAAGCTCCAGCAGCTCAATCTGCTTGGACTGATTGCTCTTATTCCTGGCGTCATATGCCTCTGCCTGGCTCTCCAATGGGGTGGCTTCGAGTATCGTGTAATTGTTTGTCCCCTGTGCTACTTCGACTCAACTAACATCATTTAGTGGAACAATGGTCACATCATTGCTTTGCTCGTGGTCGCTTTCACTCTCCTCATCGCCTTCGTCATCATCCAGATCTGGAAGCCCGAACAAGCAACTGTCCCTCCTCACATCTTCGCCAAGCGCAGCATTTGCGGTGGCTTTTGGGTGAGCTTCTGTATTGGTGCCCACCAGACACTGTTGATTTACTTCCTTCCTGTCTGGTTCCAGGTCATCAATGGAGATTCTGCCATGGACAGTGGTATTCACCTGCTGGCCATGGTGCTTGCTCTCGTTGTTGGATCCATCATCAGTGGTGTTCTCACTTCTCGCATTGGATATTACATGCCATTCCTGATTGCCGGAATATGCATCTCTTCCATGGGTGCCGGCCTTTTTACTATTCTTGGCACAAATGCTTCAGAAGGCCAATGGATTGGTTATCAAATCGTATATGGCTTTGGTCTCGGTGCCTGTTCCCAAGCTCCCAACATGGCTGCCCAGACTGTACTCCCACGTAACCAGGTATCGATTGGTGCTTCACTCATCATCTTTGCCCAAACACTCTCTGGTGCCATTTTCGTTTCTGTTGGCACCAACGTTCTCGATGGCGAATTGGCCAAGCGTTTGTCGGCCTTCGCAAGCGTCACTCCTAAGCAGATCGAGTCTGCTGGTTTGACAGGTCTTCTCAAGACTATCCCCGAGAAGTTCCACAAGGAGACACTGAGTGCCTACAACGATTCGCTACATGTTTGCTTCCGCGTTGCACTCGTCATGGCTTGTCTGGCTATCTTAGGTGCGATGGCTATGGAGTGGGCGAGCGTGAAGAAGGAAGTAGTTGAGACAACAAAGGAGAGTGACAATGAGGCAGAGGAGAAGTCGGTTGTTTGATTGCTTGCTTGTACCTACGGAAGGCGTTGGAGTTGCTGTTGATAGATGGTTGTTTCTGCATTTAATACCCCGCTCGATAATTAGATCTCATTCACAATCCGAAAACCCATCATATATATGTCTCATGATAACTGTCTTTTATTAAAAAGTCACCTTGACAAACCCCTTAAGATGTTCAGTGAGCCTAATGGAAGCTGGAGCTCTTCAACTGCCGTCCCTAACTTATCGATAAAGCTGTCGCCCACTTTTCCCATGAGCCCCTCACCTCCATCCCACCTTCCGAGTCTCCGAAAGTTGCTGATCTTCCCACCTCATGATCTCTACTTCAATCTCCCATTGATCACACCTCCACCATTCTTTCATCCTAAAAAAAAACGCCTTGATAGTATCGCCAACCGCATGAATTAATACATATAGGCATCAGACCAATCTCAACTCATCATGACAACTACCAATTCCACCGTGGAGCAAGCCTCCAAGATACCCGTTCTCCTACTCAAGACGAGATCGAGCCCTGGCGATTCATACGAAGACCTTTTCTCAGAATCTAATATTAGTGGAAGTGGCTTTGCGCCGCAGTTTGTACCTGTTCTGCTGCACCAATTTCACAATGATGGCATGAAAGAAGTCGCATCGCTACTTCGCGATCGCCGCATCGGAAACCAGGAACATCATGAATACGGCGGCTTGATCTTCACATCACAACGCGCAGTCGAAGCTTTTGTGAAACTTGTCGAAGATGGCAAAGCTGGTACGTCATAGCCATGGAGTATCTATCTCTCTAGAATCATCTCAGCTAACACAATCTCTCTTGCGACAGAGGACACTCCTAACCTCGAGGATAAAACCTCATGGCCTCATCTCCAGAACATCCCCGTCTACAGTGTCGGCCCCGCCACTACTCGCGCCCTCGCCGCCGTCCCCCAAGATCCTCCTCTCCAAGTCTTCGGCAGCCATACAGGCAACGGCGCAGCCCTGGCTCCTTATATCCTCGCCCACTACTACGAATGGTACCGCGACCAAGCTCGTGCGACTCTCCCGCCGATTCTCTTCCTCGTTGGAGAGACCCGCCGTGACATCATCCCCAAAACGCTACAGGACGGCGCGCTACCCGATACGGAGCGCATTCGTGTGACAGAGACGGTCGTCTATGGGACGGGCGTCATGGAGAGCTTTCCAGTTGATCTACGCAGGGTTCTCAGAGAAACGCGCAATGATCCTGTGCGATGGATTGTGGTATTCTCACCGACCGGATGTGATAGTATGCTTCGAGTCATGGGAATCCTGGATCCTGAAACCAATAAGGTGTATAAGGGCTACGAACGAGACGGCAAGACGTTTGTCGCGACTATCGGACCTACGACGAGAGATCACCTGCTATCATTTGGATTCGAGCCTGACGTGTGCGCCGAGTCACCGACGCCTCAAGGAGTACTGGAAGGGATCCAGGCGTTTATGGCCAAGAGACAGAGTTGAGAAAGGGAGCAATAAACAGTTGACCTTTTTGTAAGACTAATTGCGGAATATTGAGAGGGCCACCAATGGTGTAAAGAGTTGGGAGTATCAGCTCCGGGTATCATTGATTTTTACTGACCCTGCCTTGAATATTGATCGCTGTCGTCCTCCTTGTTATATACCCAGAAACTTTGTCTAAATAAAGATCGCTCTGCCTTCACAGCACATAGATTTTCCTTCTGTCCGTAGATCATCGATTTAATGAGAGACCGATCCGCCTGCGAATACCATATCATAACACCGAGCGCCATGCAAACATGTGAGAACCAAAGCAAAACATCGTCATCATACGCCCATAACCCAGAGTTCGACTCCGATGACTCCAAATTTGGTCCCCTCGTCACTCAGAGGCTCGTTACCAAAGGTCTCGCACCTTGAGCTATGCCCGTTTTCAAGGCCATTATCTAACCATAGCCCATAGTGCCCACCGCCTGATCCAACACTTAGAAAGCCGGTCTCGCAGTTGATGCAGAAGTCATTTAGACCACTGTATGGGAATGCTTTGAACCTGACAGCTTCGCTAGGTGTAGGCGACGGCGCGCGAGAATGTGTAGGGGTGTTGCTCTCTGACGAAGGCGGTGGCGGGGCGAGCGTTGTAATTCGAGAGTTCAGGTTAGTTGTATCGGCTGATGGAGGTGGTGGGAGGGGCGTGATAGTCGAGGCTCGCCAGAGGAAACATTCGCCGTTGCCAAAGTACGAGTGCGCAGGATGCGGGTATTCGGATAGGTATGCGCCAAAGATCTAATCATGTTAGTTAACAGCACAACGTCATATGGGCTCACTCGATACGCACCCCTCCTTCAAGATCTTTGACGACCAGGACAAAACCAGCCCGTTTGCCCTCGTATTGTCGACAGCGCTGATACAGAGTCGTCAAACTCGCGCCGTCCTGCTCAAGGCTGTAGACCAGATGCCAGTCGTCCACGATGCGTAGGCGCTCAGGAACCATGGTGCGAATCTCCTCCGCGACAGCGCCTGTCAGCAACTTAGCCGACGCGGGCGTGCCCTGACGATAACCATGCAGAACAAGAGGATCCAGAGGTGGAGGACGAAGAGGACTCGCGGTACGCCGCACGGGTGTGAAGACACCGTTTATACCGTCTTTTGTGCCATTGCCGTTGTGGTACTTGTAATCGTCTTCATAGGCGGTGTCGGCCTGACTAGGGAACGAACCCTCACTAGAGAAGCGACGGATGAGGCCGGTCCACATGTTGGTGATGTAGGACGCAGAGGCGCGATTAGGATTGTTGGGCGTACCGGCGCCAGATGATTCGGGAGTTTCGGGGGATTCGTTGCGGTCAGAAGAGCTCATGACGTGTAAACACAGAATCGAGTGATAGCGATGCTAAAATCAGGAAGCGCAAGAAGTCATAGATACGGGATTTGAAGCATTGGTGATCAGGAAGTTGAATAGGAATACTAGTGTTGCTGAAAGGGAGATGGGCCGTTGATATGTAGTGTTGAGATCTGAGACATTGAAGGGAATGAATAAGTTCTGCCGCTGTTATGGTAAGGTAGTGGAGGGCAGCTGTTGGAGATAGAGGGCATGAGATTGGGGGAGCTAGTGGAGCTAGATATAGTGGGGTCAACGCCTAGAACAAGACTTAAAGAACCTGATCTTGACAATCAATGCACTAACATTAATAAGTTCCAACTCACTTCCATCGCTTGAAAATGGACAGGATGTATTTCAGGCAGCAATTGCCACCTTTTCTGTTGGATACTCAACAGCTTACAACGAATTGCGTGGTGATTCATAAGCCTCTGGTCTCTTTTAGGTACTGGCCACATGTATGTATGTACGTGCACGTTGGCAAACTTCATGATCGTCATCAACACCAGAGCCTCAAGGACCAAAACGCTAGCTCGATATGGCCAATGGCCTATCACGGCTGAAATGCTGGCTCGGTCTAGACCTTTTGCTCTGTTGTCTTGTCACTCGGACTCTCTGATAGTCACGTTCCTGAAGGTAACTTGGCCGATGAGGATTGGGCGAAACAAAACTCATGATACTACTTGACGTCTCTATTTGATTAGTCTCTCAACGAGTATAGTTCCTGACATCCATAGAAAAACCCCAAAGTCCTAAGTTGGCTACTAACTCTGTTTCACTAATGATCACCTGCGCATGCTCAACACGTATCATCATGAATTTTTTTCTTGGGATATAACAACTAAAAAAAAGAAATGGCTGCAATGTGCACTTCATCAAATCATCTTCAAGTCCCATGTTTGCCTGTCTCAGACTCAGACTCTGATCCTGACTCTGGCCCATGTCTTTGATCCTGTTTCCATACATTTGACCATCTTTCAACATCAAGTTTGCCCTAAAAGACACATGCCATGTGCATGCTATGCAGAATAAACTAGCAGGTTGTGCTGTGGTCTATCTATCTTCTCCAAACTCTGCCACTTATCTTCCTCTCAAATATCACAACTATGAGCACGCCTGCTAGCAACAGATAACCCGTCAGAGGTGTCTCGGATCGCAGATCCGAGATGCCTCGCCGACCTTCGTTATCATACCACATTTACCTCATAATCTCCTGGTAGATCAACTGCTTCAGCTGCTCCTTGCTCAGGTTGTCTTTGTGCTTGTCAAAGTCAAAGAACTCCTCGGGGATCGGGGGCGCTGTTGGCTCGTCCTCGGGATCGTGGTAAGGCTCAAGGTATGGGTGCTTCAGAGCCTCCTCCACGGTAATGCGCTTAACAGGGTTGAATGCGAGGAGCTTCTCGAGCAGGTCGAGGGCCAGGTCCGAAGTCTTGGGGAATAGAGTTCGGAAGGGAACCTTCTTCTTGAAGGGGAGCGATCGAATGTATTCTCGAGCGCGGCGCGACTTGATTCCGTAGTAGTCTTCCATAGTGGGTGTGCCCAGCACATCCAGAATGAGTGTCAACTGGTGGTGGTCTAGCGGTCAAATGGTCAGCAAAGAGCTCTATCGTCTCAAGCATTTCAACAATCACTTACAGTCCTTGCCAGGGAAAAGAGGCTTGCCGCTGAGCATCTCGGCGAGAATGCAGCCAACCGACCACACGTCAATAGCCTTGGTGTACTCCTTGAAAGTCAACATGATCTCGGGCGCGCGGTACCATCGAGTCGCGACGTATTCAGTCATGAAACCGGAGTTGTCCTCCTGGGAAGCAGCGGATCGCGCAAGACCAAAATCGCAGACCTTGAGATCACAGTTGGCGTTAAGGAGGAGGTTGGAGGGCTTCAAGTCTCGGTGCAGCACGTTGGCAGAGTGCATGGCCTTGAGGGCGCGGAGGGTCTGGTAGATGAAGTACTGGCAGTGGTCGTCAGAAAGGTCCTGGGTGCGGATGACTCGGTGCATATCCGTCTCCATCAGCTCCTGTATCGCTCGTTAGTCTGCTGTTGCTATTGCGACTGAGCGCTGGTGGTACAAACCTGGATCAAGTAGACTTCGTTAAATGACTCGTAATTTCGGGGCTTCTGAATGTCGAGAATGGAGATGATGTTCTCGTGGTTGAAGTATCGCAACAGCTTCATCTCTCGCAGGGTTCTTAGACAGAACATGGAGTGATCGAAAGGAGTGATCTTCTTGATGGCGACCTTTTGGCCGGAAGGCTTGTGAATGGCAGAGCTTGAGGAGTGTTAGATAATAAACTGAGTATCGCACGAGACACAAGAAAACATACCAGACAACACCGTAGGCGCCCTCGCCAACAACATCCTGAATATCATACTGCTCGCTCACGTTGAACGAGATCTTGCGGGACCCCGCAGCGTTAGGGGGGTTCGATCGAGACATGGTCGCGGTGAAAAGGAGGGGGGAAAGTTGAAGAGGATTAGAGCGACCGAAAAGCTACGACTAATGCCGTTTGGAGAAGAATACGCAGTCGCTCGATCGGTCAGTCAGTCGAGGTGTTGTAGAAATAAGGTAGAGTCAAGTCAAGAGAAAGGGACCAGCCAAGCAAGACTAAGAAGACTCCTTTGTTGGTGGTAATGGAGGGACCTGGACCAGCTGGACAGGCTTGAACTGGGCTGGGCTGGGCTGGACTGGACTGGCTGATTAAGGATGATTTGAGGGGTTAGGTATTGAGCTCCACTCAATACAATCGCAAGATTTGATTATCGACGAGACTCAACGGAACCGAATGAGATTTGCAATTGAAGATTTACAGCAACTGAGAAAAGAACCAAAGTTGAATAGTGTAAAATATTTAGTAGGAGAAAAAAGAAAAAGGGCTGACAGCGACGGGGAGTTATAGTAGCGATAAAGTAGTAAGTAGCTAGAGATGGAACAGAAGAGCTCCACGTCCGCTCGGGCCGTGCTGATGCTGGTTCAAATAGCCCAGTTCGCAAGTTGCGAGCGCGGGGCAGAAGAGGGTCTTGCACTGCTGTAAAGACCCGTACAGAGGCTAGCGCGCCGTGGCAGAGGCCCAGGTTTCAGTTCGGTTCGCCGTGGTCAACGGTGAGTATAGGTAAGAATAGGTAAGGATATTGCTTAGGGGAGACAGTCTTCCCAATCTAGCAGTTGAATTGGTCTGTGAGTAGAGAGAGATGCAGTATTGCCTCTGGCTGGGTCTGGATCTGACACAAAAAGAATGGAGGAGAACTTTTAAGACAAGACAGGTTGGCTAAGATGTGAAACAAGCACGATGAGTCAAGACAAGATGGACGGAACAGAAGGGCAGTTAACTAATATCACTAGTTCAGTCAATCATTTCTTTCGTCATCTGATTCTTTGTCCTGTTGGGCTGATGACTCTGAAATGTGATAAAGCCAAAGCTGGGCGGCTAAGAACCAACAACTACTTGCTCAAGCTGGTGGAGGTGTCACCTCAGCCTGATAAATGGACATCCAGTGACTTGTCTTCAATGCAAAGAAAGGATCAAAACACGACAGAGTGTCCTTTGAGTTTACCTACGTAGGCAGATCTCTTCAAGGAATGCGTGATCGCAAGACGAAACGAAACCCTTGAAGAATAAACCAAGGTTCATGGTTCATGGACAGGTCCAGAACATCTGTAATGATCGCCAGGAGGGGCATTAAGAACGCCAACATTGCCAAAAAGCTGTTGAATAAACAATAGAGCAGTTGAACCTGGAACAACTAAACACAAAATAATAGAATGAGAGAGCAGCTATCGATCATCTCGGATATTGCAGTACAAGACTCCTTGGATATAGTGGATGACCCTGGATTAACAAGCTTAACTTAAGGGTGATAACGATTGAAGGAAGACAAAGTGGGGGGAGTGCTCTGATTGACTTTGACCATGGAACGGGCGGGACGGACAGCTTCCCGCCAGGTACCTGATTGTACTTGACTGTCAGAGACGTAACAGAGAAGTTCAATGTATTCGTCTGTAACAGACCTAAAGGAAACGAACACACTGTAGCATCACCCTCTGAGACAAAACGTTACAGAACCTCCCAATGATATGACGCTAGCGATTCAAAATACTGGGCGTTTAGCATCTGACAGCCCCGAAACATGGAGAATGCTACTCTGAGGTGCCCTCTCTCGTCTGCTTCAGTGGACCACATCAACCCCTGTTCTACAAAGATTCCTCTATGCGTTTCACCAACCTAATGCCATGCCGCTTCACATGTTATTGTCTCTAATTCTTCCTCAACAGCATGACCTGAACTGAACTGAAGCACTGCGTCTCTGTGTTCTTAAAATAACCTCCCCAGCGCCTAATTCTACCGATCATTGGCTACCTCGCTCAATAGGCGCGTGCGTTTCACACCCACCGACACGGCGGCGTTTCATCATTGGATAGTAAGGTCCTTGTATCTCATGTACCAACTCAACTCAACTTTACAGGGGAACATCGCGTCTGCGTCTGCGTCTGGTGCCTGTATCAGATTTCATGTGGACCAACCCCTCGGTCATGGATTCATCCAAGGAATCGGGTCTTCTTTCCGTTTGGTTTCTTGACCTGACTGTCTGTTGAAGGAATGAATGCATTTCTAAAAATATCATGCATTACTATGCATGCCAGTTAATGGTCCTTGGTTGGCTGTATCATAGCTATCTTGACCCTGGTTGTACTGTTTAATGCTATCATCACGGGCCCCTCTGTAGAACACCATCATGATCATGATGGCAATACGTAGTCTCAACATCACCTCACCCCATCACGTTGGGTAATCTTCACAATTGCTCACAAAACAATTCATTCACTCTAATTGACCCCGTTCGTCCTCGCATCCCTGTTACCAAAAACAGCCGACTGCTTCTCCAGGACCTCGACTCCAGTCATTGAACCCTCCTCATCCCGATCCCAATATTACAAGGACAGATCCGACCTATTCCTCCGTCTACAAACGCTCAACTTTTATCGAGCTACTCTACTGAACAACCTTGATACAAAAGTTAGTTTATCATCTCAGCCAATGTTGTCGTCGATCAACTCACCTTTTCTCTCAACATGCCTAGCCATTGAGCTGCGCTTACACCCTGGTCGGCTCGGTCCTCCACGAGTAGCGTCTGCGCCCAGAGCTTCAGGCTAGGTTCTCCGTCTTCTCGCACGATATACAGGTGGGGCAATGTAATGCTGCCAACCCCTAGTGACTTGTGGTCCCGGCTCTTCTGAACAATGGCTCGCACGCGTTCGTTGAAGTCTCCCTCAAGCTCGGGTACGCGACCCTTTCCGACCTGGATCTGGCCTCTGTCTTCCACTCCAAACACATCTTGCACCAACTGCGGTACGGCGTCACGGCCGACCCACAAGAACTGAGTTTGTCCATCATCGATGAGGTACAAGCCGTAGGGCACAAGCCTCTCTGAAGACAGGTTGAGCGCAGGAGGGAGCGCAATGTGGCCCGTCTCCTGGTCGGGAACTCCCGCGTTGTCGGGCATATCATGTAGTGAGTAAAGTCGGGGGTAAATGTAGCGCATCAAGAGGGGCACAGGAAGTGTTGACAGGAGGCAGAGCGCTGCAGATCTGATGTCGGAGGGGATTTGAGATGACTTGCGGAGACCAACGTTCTTGATCAGCCCCAGGAACAGGAGGGGAAGACCGCGGAGGTTGGCGGGGAATTGCAGACCACCACCCATGCTGCCTCCAGCCAGCTCCTTCTTGAATGTCTGCAAGAGCTCAGTAACCTTGCTCTGCAGAGCGTCGCGGGCCGCATCGAGGCCACTTGAAAGGGCTCGCTCCACGGCCTTGTGGCTGAAGTAAGTGGTAATAGCACACTGATCTGCTGAGGCGTACATATCGGACAGATTGGTCGTTGTAGGGAGGGCCAGAGTCATGACTCGGATGCGACGCTCGCCATTGCAGGTTGTGTGCAACACTGCCGCCTGGAGGCAGATGACGTTCTTGGTAAGATTCTCATCAATGGCCACCTCGACAACGTAACATTGATCACGGGGGAAGGCGGGGAAAGCGCAGAGATCGGAGCTTCGGTTGAAGAAGTTGCCGTAGAATGTGTTCATTCTTAAACCGCTTGTGGCTCGGACTCGAAGAACAGCTTCCAGACCAATTTCAGACGAAAGATAGTCGCTGAACTCGGAAGCAAACTTGAGGGCATCCTCAGGTCGCGAAGCATGCCAGCCTGGGTAGAACCAGGTCTGGCCACCAGTGTAGCGAGGGAGGTTGCTGAGCGAAGCGACATCTTGATACTGTGATGAGAAGAGGAACATATCGATAGAGACCTGGCTCTTTGAGCATTCGACGGCAAAGCTCTTGTAGAAACTATTGGCTGTTTGGAGCAGAGCACCCTCTTTGGATGTGCCAAGAAGCTTCTTATCCTCACGCATCTCAAGCTTGCCGACACCAACATTAGGCAGGGAAGCAGTCAAAACAACAATCTTGCCTCCAAGGGTGGAGATAAGCTTGTGAGCTGCACGCAGGGCTGATCCCATGCATGAACCGTTGCTCTGGTTGTTCTGGAACATGTCGGGAAGCTTCTGCAGGAACTTCTCCACGCTTTGTCGGCTCTCGTTAAGAGGGACCAGGAGCTCGTTAGGGATAGGCAGGAAAGGCTCATCGAGATCGCTGACGACCAGCATATTGGTCTCGCCATTCTCATCAGTATCCTTGGGGATCGAGAAGTAGTGCAGGCTAGAGTCCACGGCCAAGAAACCAAGGCGCGTGCGGCGATCAGCATTTGGTATCCTGTCAAGGCTGTCCAAAATGGTGCGGGCTGCGGTGGCCACGAGTCCGGTTGAAACAGCAGCGTAGCTGACATCGAAACAGAACAGGTAGATGAGGGGCTGGGGTGGGCGAACCATGTACTCCTGAGGAGCAACAAACTCAACAACAGCATGGTTCAGCTCGGGTCGCTGCCATCGGTCGACACTCTGCTGGGCAGCGGCATCCCAATCGAAAGCCTGAGGAACGTCGTTGGTCAGATTACACATATTACACCTCCATCGGTGTCCCTGGTCCAGGAAAGTAACATAAGGGTTGATGTATGTTCTACAACGTCGGCAACGCGAGATGACCTGATCCTGCACAACAGGTACGGGATCCTCATCGTCGTGGAGAGAACCGTAGGGCTGAATGACGAGAGCAAGGGGCAGCTTGGACTTCTTCAGGAGCGAGTGGGTGGTGGGAACAGCGTTGAGGGTTGATCGGAAATATCGCGGGGAGCAGTTGGCGTCGGGGGACGGAGTAACACTCGTCTAATAGACGAAGGTTAGCGATTTACAATGATACCATGCCTGAAAATGAACGACTCACGTTGGGAGGAAGAACAATCGGGGGCGGGGGGAGGTCAAGCTCCGAGACATTGAAGGGCTGGCTAAGGAGATCAGTTGGATAGAGCTGGTTCAGAACAGCAGGGCGAGGAGGCTGAGCGCCCTGAGGTTGTTGAGCCTGACCACCAATGTTCATGTTGCCGACGCCTTGAGTAATACCGCCAACTCCTGGCGCGGGCTGCTGAGCACCAGGTGTTGGGTATCCTTGATCGGGAGCTTGGTAACCATATTGGGGAGCCTGAGGAGCAGCGGGTTGCTGTGCGCCGTATCCCTGGGGATATTGGTATCCTTGAGGGGCAGCGGCTTGAGGTTCGGCCTGATAACCTCCATAACCTGGCTGAGCGGGAGGGGCACCGAATTGCTGAGGAGCTCCGCCTGTCTGAGCACCGGCGACGGCGTTGGCACCGGTACCGACCTCGAAAGCCTGAGCCGCATATCCTCGCTTCTTCTTCTTGTGGCCTTGATCGTGGGGCTGTTGCTGTTGGGCGGCGGCAGGGTCCTCGTAAGCTTGTTGAGGCTGTTGTTCTTGGGCAGCATATTGATCGTATTGCTGGGCTGGATAGCCGCCGAAGCCATCGCCAGGAGGGGGCATCGACATGGTTGAAGTGTGAAGGGAGCAGTGTCGCACCCGAGGTTGAGGTAAGGTATATATGTATGTGTAAACGGTGTCGGTCAATCGGTCGAGAAACGGTTCAAGAGGCGCTGCAGAGGAGCAGACGTTTTAGCAATTGACAAAAATGGGAGAGTAAAAGGCGACTCCCGATCCGAAGCTCCCAGTCGACGAAATCTTGATGTTGGACTGGGATGGAGGAGGATAAATGGGGGTGGGTGTTTGGTGGTTGATGAGCTCAGAGCTGTTAGGTAGTGTAGCCTGTGTCTGTCTGCATGTCTGGCCTCTTCGCATTGGTCACCGCCACAGCGACATAGCCAAGAATCCTGTAGTGCGAAAGGAGGGGCTATCTTATGGTTGCCTGAGCCACGCTATCAGATGCCAGAGATGGGGAGAAGAGGACAACGATATCACTAGGTAACCTCACGTGTCGATATGAGTCAATACAGAAGAGAAATTCAGTGATTTTTTTTATTTAAATGTGTCCATACTCATCGATATCACAAGCAAGCTTAGAGCTTGAAGCTACTGTGGCGTCAAAGCTTCGAGCTCTGATAGTAGTGCACAGCCACACCCACTGCACCAGTATAATTCAAGAACTGTGGCTGTCTATGATAATGTTTCTTCAGTAGAGATAATATTCCTGCGTCTCTAACTACATGCGTGTTTCGTATCATACAGGTTGGAACTGGTTTGTGTTGTTGTCGATATGCATATTGATAGCCTTCAACTTGTCGCCCTATGGTACGTAAGTTTTGTAAATGGTGGTAGACGTTGCGTTGTCGATAGTGGATTGATAATGATATGCTGTAGGCTTATATGACTTAACAGAAGCTCGTCATTAGTTAGTTTTGATATATTTATTTATTTTTAAAAGAAAAAAAAGTTATGTTGACTCTCGTTTCTAATTTAAATCTCAATCGCCGACGTCTGTTACCCCGGAGACTCTGTCTCAGGCCAAATGAATACACAAAGCGCGCGCCGCCCAAAGAGCAGTCCGAAGATTACTCCTGAAGTCCTGGTGATTCTCGTAACCCTGGACGTCCATGATCTCTTGGGTCACTCTAGGTGAAAACTTAGTGGTGACCTATACGAAGCAAGTCATACACATCTGGGCAACATTAAGATACCTAAACCAAGAGAATCTTGTAGCTAGAAATGCCCCTAGGGAAATATCTGAACAGAGGGAGATGTTATTTAATTCTCTTAATCCACATGCTATCATGTGGTGCGTTTGACCATGTTTCATTGTAACTCCTTACTGTGGTGTAAGTGGTCAACTTCACCAAGAAACAGCATACAATCATATATTTAGATAGAACTGATGATGGATGGGCCAATATTTGAAAGACTACTTATCCACGTTATTTACATGATGTTAAGCTGTATGGGTAGGACAATAGTTGACATTCCTTTCTCACATGGTGCCTATTTCTCGCTAAGGCAGCCCAACTGGCGAGAGTTGGCCACAACACAATGTATGTCCTTCATCTATATCTTTTATCAAGCCCTAGGGTGCCGACATATCCGTCTCCCCTCGCTGTCATCGAGAAGCTAGTCACGGGCGTCTGTATGTCATACAGAGCTGTAAATATAATCACTCCACAGAATGTTGCACAGATGAACAGCGTTACAGTTTGTTCTTGAACTTCTGTGGCAACGGCTCTCTGGCTCGTCTACGGGATACCATAGGCTCATCAGATTACGAAGATGTTTGGCAGGTCAAGGAAGCACAGGAAGTGATATCTATGTGCTTCGTACAATGGCAAGTGGCCAGAATGACTACAAGAAGCAACGGCTAGGCCAAACAGGAGGCAATGTATGCCTACAGCGTAACAAGAGCTTACATGTATTCTTTCGAATCTGATGGGTGAGGAGCTTGGTGATCAATGTGCAAAGTTCACATGCTTTCCTTAGACTTGGGATGTTGTCCTGCGAAGGCTTGGTCTTGACCGCATCCATGTTAGCTCACGGGGTTTCAATGACTCTTCACCATATGAACTCGATACAATTCAATACGCTCTCTCTATAACGATCAATGGCACACACTTCTCACGCGCACAGTCATTCGAAGTGTCAGACAAAAACATCATGATTGCTTCTTCAAGCCTCACACAAACCCCCTACATCACCACACCAACATAGACTGTTCTCGATTCACCACAGGGAGAAATAAGTCAGCCGCCACAAAAGCTTGACTCCCTCAGGTTGTTAACAATTAAGGTATGACAGATGAGTCTAGGCAATCAATGAGTGTTCGTAAGGCAAAACATTACCCAATCCTTTTTTTTTCTTCCGTGGTTTATTTTTGCACTTCATCTCATCTTTTGCACTGCCACTGCATGGATCGCATGGACGGCAGCGGCCCGGGATAGCTTCTTGGCATTTTCAGGTATAGGAACATGTTCAAGAGTACCATATTGCACTTATTCAGAGCAGTTTGAAATGGAGAAGCACTTGTATTCGTCTCACAGACTGCGGTCACTCGTTACAGCAAGGCATCAAGTTTTTCGATACATCGTTCCCCTCCATGTCCCAGTAGCATTCCCACTAACATCAGCCAAAGTTACAGGAGGGTAGCCCCTCAGACAAGACCTGGACCCTGTTTTTCGATGCAGAACAATCCAATTGGCGATCCACATACATACCTAAGTTCCATTAACGGGTTTTCGCGAATAGTTCGAGGGCGAGCTAGTCCAGGTACTTTACTTTACTCACATGCATCCCTAAAGTGGTACTCTATCCCCCATCCTTCAGCTCTTGGTCCCCTCAATTCTTTGCGCAACCCCCTTTCGGCTGCCTCTCTCTTTCTCCCTCTAACTTCTCTCCCTCTAACTTCTCTATTCTTCTTTACACCTTCAACTGCGTTGATCGCATTCATCACTTCTCTTCTCCAGCTCAGCGCATCCTTCCTCGCCATTGCCAATCGCCGATTTCGCATCGCACGTGTCGCAACCAAACATGGCCAAACAACCTTCAGCTCTCAGGTACAGCTGCACCGCCAGCTTTCACTCCGAGGACACTATCTAATTGACTCTTATAGCCAGGTCCTTCCTCTCATCATCGTCTTCGCTCTGCTCAGCGTAGGCGGTTGGGTCGGCTACCAAGTCTACATCAGCGTCGCCAAGATGTCCGATGCTGCGTCCGAGCGCATGGGGAAGAAGAACGTCGTTTTCACAAAGGATGGTGTAAAGGTTGGCGTCAAACAAATCAAGAACGAGAACTATGTCGATGCGACGCAGAGCTGGTTCGTCAAGGCGTGGAATCTAGGCACGACACCAGATGCTAGTCAGAGGTGCGTACATGGTGATATCTTTTCTCGTGAAGGAGGAATAGACTCTGACAACGTTTGCAGCAAGAAACAAAAGTAAACCCGATCGCCACTCCGTCACGAATTTTCTATCTTGATTCGAATATGCTAGGGGCATGAGTAGCACGCACGCACACATCCATAGGACTATTCGACGAATTTCTTTCGCTGGGACAGTTTCTTCAAACTTGATTCATATTACGCCAGATATCCGGTTGCAAGATTACTCTATAATACAGCAAATTGCACTTGAAAACGTTCCCGTGATCACAAACTTCCCAACCATAACACCCCATGAAACCATCCATGGATATCCACTCGTCTAGCATATCCAAAAAAGCACCAGCCAAACCCCTACACTTTCGTTTCGAGTATCGGATCTGCAATGGCACAATCGAGCTCGGATCAAACAAATTCATGGTAATTTTTGAACGCCTGGTTGGATATCCAATCCAATAATGGCTTGTAATGCCGACATATAGACTAAAGCTCAACCACGCTTAATCAGGACCAGCCATCCTCTCTTATTTGATAGGTTATCCAGAACCTTTTTTATCGTCTATATGGCATATTTGAAGATGAGATGTTTTCAAAATTATATCTCCGGTATCCCATAATCAACTCTGAAACTGCAACAGGCCGTCGGCCACCCTCTCGTTATTTGGTAAGGACCCCCTGGCTTTACTCAGCAGCTCAGTTTTCTGTTTCTCAGCTCTCTCCTTCTGCATAGCTTCATGCTGTTGAATTGGGTTCAGAGAATATCCTGCCATAGCTGGTGCCGTCTTGGAAGATAAGAGCTTTTCAAAGTTGTAGGAGCCAGGGTACGGGCTAGCCATTAAGCCATCCCTGCGGATGAGCATTGACGGAACACGAACATTGAGCTGTGGAGAAGTGTCAGTTGACCCTGAAGTTGATACCAGAAAAAGCAACAAATGTGGGGATAGAATAAATGCTGAAAAAGGAAAAGAAGACGAACAAAGGAGAAAAAGAAAGGAAATATCAAGCGGAGGCAAATAGCTCCAGGGATTCAGAGAGGGTACTCACTTGTTTAAGCACATTGGCGTACCTAACACCGAGATGATTACCAATAAACTCAAGTCGACCTTTGACCCATGCTCTCTGTGCATCAGTTGTATAATCTTGACCCTGGACACAAGTCAGGGGCCAAGTTAGGAAATATCCTGGCAGACCTTTTAGGGCATCTTCCTCTCCACAGCCAAACGCGGACAGGTTAGCACGCTCAAGAAGCTCCCTGCGACTAGAAAACCAGCCGAGCTGGTAGGGCACCGAGGCAATGATATCCGTGATGGTATCAACACATGTTCTCGCGGCTGTTGCGTATTCGGGGTTGTTCGGTAGTCGACCGGGGCGCAAACCCATGCAGCACAGCGAACAATCAGTGAAGCGAGAATGATGCGAGAGCAACGCATCAAGTTCCATACGCTGACAACCCATAGATCCTGATATGCGTCTATTCGTCCTGGGAAAACCTCAGCCATGCCGTAGTTTCCACTGGGAACATTGTCTTCCCAAGCCACAGCTTTGTAGTGGAAGTACTCGGGCAACTGGTTCGCCCAGGCCACATGTTGCTGATCGAGAGTCTGACATCGACGAATAATATCCAGAAGCAGCTCAATGTTCTCGGGGCTGCGGCCCAGGGACGCCATCAAGCGATTAGACTCAGCTCTAAGCTCCGCTGTACGGATGTTAAGTCGCTGACACTCGGCTCCGTACTGATTCTTGTAGCTGTCCGTAATCCACCATTCCACTCCCATAGCCGGGGGTGTGCCTGTGGTCAAAGTGTGAATGATCTAGTCGCTCGTTAGATAGTGGTCAGCTGGAGAATGAACAGAAAGTGCGTACCATTTGCGTCCTTGTAGCTACAAAAAGAGCCAGGCCTGTTTTCGTTCGCAACTGCTTCCTATCTCTCGACTTAACCAGCTGAATAGCTCCTTCAATATGAGATCCCCAAGCGAGCATTCCCAATTGTTTTGCTGTGATGTTCTCAAAAAGTCCCAAAAGCAGCACAGCTGCCAAAGTTGAGTCCTCTTTAGATAGAACCGGATCCTTCAGAGCGCTGAACGTGGCGGAAAGTGCTTTCGTATAACATCCTAAAGCCTTGTTCTCGAAATTGCAACCTGAACCGACACGGTTCCCCAGAGATGCCATAGCACATGCATCAAACGCTAGCTTGAAATGGGACGCTTGCTTCTCGCTTTTAAGGAGAGGCACAACGAATTCCATCCATCCACGCGTGTTATCGTGAGAAGGTAGCAGAACGAAGTTCGATAGAAAGTGACATGTTGCCTGCTGGTCTACCGGAAGTTGAAGAGTCGATATGATAGACTGATCGGGTGTTGGTTTGTGAATAGCTACAGCCTTTGAAGGTTTACCCTGCTTCTGAGCCGTGGCTTTCTTGCTGGCCTTGCGAGCTCTTCGTTCAGTTGCCTGTGTCTCATTGCGGAAGACGAGATCGAATTCGTCCTTGTAGCCAGGGCATTGTCGCCTGGATTTGGCGCATTGATTACAGGTTGGTTTCGTTTCATCGCACTATGACAGTGAGCTGATGCGTCTAAGGGGCCCCAGGAAAAGTCTGCACAAGAAAAGCCATGTGACAGTAGAGTAGCAACACACCTTGATTCTTCGGGCTCTGCACATCTGGCAGCCCCTAGAGGGCTTGCCGCAGTAGACCATGATTGACCGTGTTTTTTTACGAAGCCCAAGTCCGACGATCCGATCACGATGTTATGTCAAAATTCCCAGCAGGGGAGGATGACAGAAGTGGAAAGAAGATGGGGAAGGATTATTGTCCAACTGCTGACTGTCCAACGCCCTCCTGGGAGGACAGAGTAGACGAGAACCGCGGGATAGGGCGTACGAAGACGCGAGGTTGCATACGGAGATGAAAGAGAGCGAGGGTCGTAGCTGGTTACTTAACGTGACAGATCCGATATGAACAGTTCAATCTTTTGGATGAGTGAATGAAAGTCTAGTAGATCGTGATGCTCTACTTCGAGATGGTCAACACCTAGGAAGTTTGAGACGAAACAAGTTGAAGACAACCAAACAACCAAGAAAGAGCAGAATTGAAGCTCTCAGAGATGAAGGATCGATTTAACGCAAGCACTGACTAGTTGGTGGCGAAAATTCCGAGCTGTCGGTGGTTCTGGTATTAAAGAGTTCGTCTTGGTATGTACGTGTATATACCAGGGTATGACAAGGGACGATGATGGCTGACGGGGAAGAAAAAGCAACAAGAGGGTCCAGGCAAAGAAGAAGAAGAAGAAGAAAGAGGCAAAGGTGTCCGAGAAGTCGTATCCGAGACGAGTGAGGACGATGGATATGTTTGCTTCGCCTTACACAGCGGGGGGCTAAACAGACGACAGCAGGTTGGCGGTGGAACGTCGACGAGGAGATGGAGGGGAGGACAAGGGGGTCAATGTGATGACAAGCGATGAGACAATCCGAGTTTGCAAGCTTGGCTCAGGTTGTCAATGCGAGTGAGCGACAAACGAAGTGATAAGTGACAGATGATGATAGTACAGTACAGTAGGAGTAGATGCGGCCAGAGGACGGAAGAATTGCTTTTTAGCGACGCCGCTGGAGGAGGAAAAACATGGCAAGATGACAAGGCCAGAAAAAGGAACCAGACAAAAATGGCCGGATGCAATGCAAGGCAAGGCAAGGCAATGCAATGCGACGACGCGATGCACGAGGATGGATCGTAAAGGCCCCGCTTGAACTGTCAGTAGCAAACAATAACGGTATTTGCCGTTATAATCCTGTAGACTGAATGACAGCTGTATCTGGTTAAACAGAGCCCAATTGATTGAATGTCTTGTCGATCAAAGTCAAAAGTTGAAAGAGTTGAGACGTGTAGTTTTGGTTCGCAGGTGGATAGCCATACGTTTTAGAATAGAGCGGGAAGACGGGATGCCGTCCCTGATGTGTACTGTAACTTAGTGGCCTCTGCTAATGAGTCTATAAACGGCCACGGCCAATTGAGTTATAGCGGGGATTGAGACCACGAACCCGCTTCCACTGATGTGAGGTGCTCTCTTAGAGTTGGAGGCTCGAGCGGGGCTTATTACAGGGGAAGATTAAGAACCCTGTAACCTGAATTAGTGGGTGGGTGAGATTCATAGACAGACGGGAAGAGATCAAGAGAGTTGAACCTCGGCATGTCATTGTAGCATTGACACATAGTCAATCGGTTCAAAGCTGGTCACATTTTCAATATAAATGTGTGTATATTAACTGCCATCCAAGATTATAGTCCAAGATTAAGCCGAGGTTCGTGGTTAATATACTCACTACAGTTGAGGAGAAGGGGGATAGCTAATTAATAGGCAAAGAGACCCGATAATAGTGATGAAAATAATGCAGAACATAGTGGGACAGCGGGCATAAAGATGCTATCCTGTCACCACTAGTGACCTCACAATCTGCCTGCCGCCTGAGAGGGGGAGGAACCAACATGAACTAAGAATCAAGGCCCAACATCCATTGCCAGGATCATCATGCAGATACAATCTGATCATCTATAGTACGGTCAGATATAGTACATCATCCAATGATACGAGATCGACGAGGGTCGGCATTTGTGACAGTCGCGTTATTCGATGGATTATTCGAATACCCTTGACGATATGTGTGCCTAAACTCAACGGACGTCCTGGTCACGGGACTTTTCCGTTGATGCCCGTAGTCAGGGATGCTTTACGTGCTGTCAATCCTGTCGTTGTTAAGCGGGCGGCACAGTAGCATTGGCTGATCCTGATGATCTTGTGGTTTTTTGTCAATGTCAATGTGGGATATCCTCGCTTGAATCTTGATGATCTCTAGGGTCCCTATAAAACTATGACATATACATAAGCGTTTCAGTATTGTCAATATAAAGGAACATCCTGGTTATTTGTGGCATCGATGAGATAGTGATCGATCTCCCTCGTGTACAGAACGCCACGAGCAAAAGCAAAATACGTTTCACAGTTGTCAAGGCCGGCCCACGGTTCTAGCTTTTGAAAGCTCCAGAAAACGAACATAACATAACAAAGCTTCAAGTGCCACAAATCGAACGATGGGTTCATTGCCGCTTCTGGTAATAGCGGCTAACGTTAGCCCCTGTGGGATGTCTCGGCCATCAACGCCTCATCGCCGTTAAAGGTTTCACATATCCAGCCCTTCGTGATCCATCTTCTCAAGCTGAGACATTATAGAGCTGTTATTAGACTTGGCTGAGTTGATGAACCACCTCAAAACATGTTTTCTGCAGCAAGAAGCCGAGGCATCTCTGTTACCAAGGTTTCCCTTGTAGGGCTACATCAACCTCAAACCAACATATTCAGCCTCCATTCCTTCACATTTGCCATGGAGTGGGCCACGCGGTAGAATGAGGCTTCGTGCCTCGGTCTTAGACATAAACGGGTGTCTGCATCTGGTCGATGCTCATCTCTTTTGGATGGCCTCAATGCGCATTCCGGATCGTTGGGTTTGCTGCCATTTCAGCTCTAATAAAGCCTCGAAGCTTGAGTTTTCCACCAACAACTTCTTGTCAAAGCTTCACAAAATACGCCTCCCCATCTTGCTTGTAACAATCTCGTATTTCGCGCTTCGGGCTTCAGGTTCGCGCGAGCTCTGAATTGTCCCATCGCTGAAGGCCTCATAAACCATGTTCCTCATACTGCTTGAAAGGCAGAAGCCTGTGATGCTGGAGGAAGTGCGGCTTTCCGTTTATTCTTAGAATGCAATGATGGCTCGTTACCAGCGTATCGTGTGCATATCGTTAGGGTCCAGTATCGTATAGACTTGCTGCCCTCCAACCAGTTGCATTTCGGCAAGCGTTTCTTGTGTAACTCATCAACACTTTTTGACCACAACATGAATAGTCCAAATGTTCGGCTACTCTAAGTGATTCAAATTTATCCAGATTAACTTTGACGGGATCTGTACAAGACAACAGCGGAATAAATGGATATTCCCGTCGTCAAGCAGTCCGGGCTTCACCGGCACATCTTCCCCACTTTCGGTGTGCCGACCGGCATCCCAATTCGGTCACCCTAGACCGGCACCGGCAAACAAGTGTATTATCTCATCAACGTCCAAGTCAACTACAGGGCGTACTCTCCCTATAAATAACGAGTAAAATACTGCCGTTTGAAGAGGATAGACAAGCATCATTCAGTTATTATCAAGAAGACACATTCCACCTTCACATTCACCTTCAAAATGAGCAAGATCTCCGACTTTGGCCTCCTCTCATTCGACGTTTATGGCACTCTCATTGACTGGGAGACTGGCGTTCTGAATGGCCTCAAGCCCCTTCTTCAATCCAACAATACCGAAATCTCTCGAGAAGATCTCTTGAAGATCTATCATGAGGCTGAGGTTGCTCAGCAGGAAAAGACTCCCGACATGAAGTATTCTGAGCTTCTAACTACCGTCCACCCTCATGTTGCAGAGCGTCTCGGCTTCCCTGAGCCCACCTCTGAACAGAGCAAGGCCTTTGGCGATTCAATTGGATCATGGCCTGCATTCCCTGATACTGTTGATGCTCTCCTTCGCCTCGGCAAACATTACAAGCTCGTTGTTCTGTCTAATGTCGACCGCGAGTCCTTCTCCGGCAGCAATGCGGGTCCTCTTCAAGGCATTCCCTTCGACCTAATTATCACTGCACAAGATGTTGGAAGTTACAAGCCTAACCTGAACAACTTTAAGTATATGTTGCGGGAAGTGGAGGCCAAGTTCGGTATTCCCAAGGAGAAGGTGCTGCAGACTGCGCAGAGCCAGTTTCATGATCATCAGCCCGCAAAGAAGATGGGCATCATGTCAAGCTGGATTGAGAGACCTGGGGCTAGTATGGGTAACCGAGAAGATCCTGTATATGATTGGAAGTTTGCCACACTTGGGGATATGGCTGATGCATTGGAGAAGGAACTTGCTAGCAAGTAAATTAGTCTAAGCTTGATATAAATCATACAATACAGATTATTAGTGGTAAAAGATCAACCTCGTGCCGGTTTCTCGTACTTGTTCTGTGTACTGTTCAACTCACAAGCATTGAATAGGTAATTTACCAATCGTTATCGACCCTTAACAGTGGAATCTAGGGGAGGTAGTGACAAACCGATGTACTGAGCCAGTCTCCAATGTCCAGTCAGAAGCCAGGATAGCTAGCGACAGCTGTCCTGGCTAAACAAAGGGATCTTTAAAAAGAGAGGAAACTAAATGCATTTGGAAGAACTAATAGCATAGTATTCTGGGAGCTAAATCAAATCCAAGCCTTTATACCTGGCAATGGCCTTGATGCCGTGAGGGAGCTTTGAACGATGTCATGAAGTAAACCTGAAGTGTATATACTAAATCAACATTAATATCATAATTCGTAAGTCATATATCATCAAGCTACCGGCTGCCCAAACCCATGATCAAACCAATCTCCCAAATCCGGCAAAGAAATCACTTCCGTACGCGCAGGCAAAGAGCAGCCACTCTTATAAACCCCCGCCATCCCAGAACACTGATACGCAAGCGAAGGCCCTCCAAAAACATCCAGCATAGAGTTTTCCTGCCGAGGTAGCTGCAGAGATTCTCCAGGAACAATCTGCTGCATGGCTACCCAATTTCGAAACTGAAGATATCCATCCTCGTCGAGCTTCCCAGTACTGTCTCGTCCCTTTGCGTGGTTCAGTCTGTCGAAGGCAATCTCCAGTCCTTCTACTGTGCGTTTCTCACCACTTGTTGAAAAGACGCCGGTTGATATTTCTCGCAGCAATTCCATCCCTTTCTTGCAGGCGTCCTTGCAACTATTGCTCCTGTCAGAGACACATTTTGCTACCAAAGCGAGAACAGCAGCACAGCAGGAACTGAACTCGGTATAAGAAGATTTTGAAAGACTACTCTCGTCGTGTAGAGTCTGACATAGGTGAATAGTTGTAACAGCACTGTCGACACAGTCGTTGACTAGTTCCTTTCGCAGTTTCGTCCACTCTGCACTCGGCGTGTCCTTGGTATTGATATTCAACTCGTCCAGGATAAATGATCGACCAATCAGGATATGAACCAGATTATATGTTAAGAAGAGATGTATGTTGGATCGAAATAGCGGTTTACCAGGCGTCAGATCTCGACAAAAGGTCTCCTCGGAGAGACTTTGCCAGTAACTGCGAAGTCTCGCCTTGAGTTGGGTGATGTTTTGAAATGCTCTGACTTTCTGCACCTTATCTTTGCTCTTTAACGCCAGACTGTCTCTTGTTAGTCTTTCGATTTCAAATAGGAATAGTTAAAGTTACTCACATTCCATCTCGAGCATCCTCCATGAAGATAGTCAGCTTGAGCATGGCCATGTTGTTTTGAAAAGTGTTGATTCTTTCCTTGGGTTGCATTTCTTCCAAATCGATTGGTAGATTAGCATCAATATCTAGTCTCGAGATAGAGACAGGTCGTCCATGTAAGATGCAAATTCGGCTTTTCTATGTTAGATATTGTAAAGGGTTTCGTAGGGTCTGAACATACCGCTCGAGAGCATAAGCAGTCCACCAAACTCTTTTCCGCAACTCAACTTCTCGGGGAGATAGATCCCGGATAGTCTTCTGGTGAAGATTGAATTGTGTTGCCACCTTGATAGCAATTCCGAAATAGGTACAAGACAAGCCAGCTGGGTCAATAGGAAGGACATATATACCGAACAGGAGAAAGGCTTGTACGCTTTCGATCGAGCCCATGGCTAGAATATCAGGGATCAAGTTTGTGGCCTTTCGATAAAACGTCGATGCAATAGTATCATCCATCGTTTGACAAATATCATAGGCATTTCTCATGAGCTCTCGATTTGAACCTCTGGCAGTAGACTGAAAAAGATGCGAGAATTGTGTTCCGAGTGCAAAGACCATCAACGCGACCGAGACCCAAGGGGCATCTTCACTGCCCACGCGGGTAGGACAAGAGTAGAACTGGTCAAGGCGTTGTCGAAGTGTCTCCTCGTCGATATAGAAATAGTTTGTTTGGGCGATTTCAAAGAATACTCGCAAGAGGATCAGAGCAGAGGGAGCTGGTGGGAATAAGGGCACCGCTTCAAGAACTGCTGCGTCTCGGGAGAGAAGCTGAGAAGTGTTTGCTTTATCGCTGACTGCTGTGTCTGCTCCTGAGTCCTGAAAGTGTTGTTGTTAGGCCCCTATTGACTTGAGAGACGGAACATCCTACCTCATACTCAAAGTCGGTCAGCTCATCTTTGACCTTCTTCTGTACACGGCGAGAAAACTCATGATGAGAGAACTCTACGTTGGCTGTCACCAAGTCAGCTTTGGTTATACCCCGCTTGAAGAACAATACCTACCAGTTGATGCTGTATCTACACTCGCGCAATCCCTTCCATCACTGCTCATATCATCATTCTCAATATCAACCTCAATCACATCCGCCAAATCTTCTTCATTTGTCGCAGACGAAAGATCTGCGATGACGGTCTCAAGCTTCTCTCTGCTGAACTCCTCAAGCCCTGTGTAATGTCTCACGATATGCTCTAGCGCCTGGATACGTTCCGCCTCAAAGTATACAGAGACATCCTCAGACGTTACCTCCACCGCAGGTGCTTTGATCATTTGTGTCGCCATCCGAGAAACTCGGCTTCTTCTGAACCTATCGCTGAATTGACAAGGCCTGCCAAAGTATTTGCATCTGTCGCAGGGCATAGAGCCGATACATTTCTCCTTGAGTCGGCGACAATCATCGCATCTATGTAGATTCAATCAGTTTATATCTCTGGATAAAAAGATCAGGGAGTAATACTCACGCCCTTGTTGTTCTTCTCTGTGTCTTCCGGACCGGAGACGTTGGTCGGTACTCTATTGTATCCATGTTCACTTAATCACCGGTATCTATTACGACAAAGCCAAAAGGGAAAACGAGCATCAATTCAGGCGAAAATTTCTCTAGAGAGATTGTGGGAAGTTCCTGAATTTATGCCGGAACTTGATGCCCAAGAATGCGCCGGCTTAAGCTACTCATGCTACGGCCCGGTGCCGGAGAATGAACCGGCGCCGGCGACGGCCTCAAAACAGTCCTGTCTTAATAAAGAGAGGACAGACACGTGAAAGTAATAAAAACTAAAACCATATTTTCCTCCTCATTTTGCCACTTCAAAGTCAGCTCATTAATCTCCGGATACTGTACGTCCTCCAAGTAAGACGCTGCCACCGCCGGTTATAAACCCCCAAGCCTCATACGCAAGGATGCCACCCTCTTCTCCAATTTAACGCGTGATAGACCTTGCAGCTTTATCGGATGCTTTCCCCGGTGAACACCCATTGAAGTTTATCTCTCCAGAAAACAGTCGACGTCATACAAAAGCTGGCTTTCAAGTCCCGGGCCGGCCATGACACTACCGAGCCCTCCAAACACTCACCGGTTTCCGGATTCATAGCTGGGCTATAAGAAATGTTTCGCAATGGACTGATTATTGCTGATTGTGGCTGTATATGCAATGTCATTGCGCATTATATGCAGCCGGCCTCATAAACTGCAGACTGAGCCAATGCAACATGGCATGATTATGCGTCAACCTCAATATGCAAGTCAAATAACTTCAAGTAAAACATGTCGATTCCCATCATAGCCTGACCCATGCTCGCTCTAACTAATACTCCTGATGATCCATTCCAATTCCTCAGTTCGGCCCCGTCTATTGTCCCCCTTAACCGCACATCTCTATTATACCGCCCAGAAACTCGACGATGAGAGCCCTTGGCCTGGGCTTGCAACTTCCAACCATTTTTTTTTTAAACCGCTAGCGGGTCTAACTCCGGTACTATCCGCTCTCATGTAAGGTTGATTTCTAAAGGTATTGCTGCCTTTGAGGCAATGGTCTCTCCCTCGTGGATTCTCTAGCCCTCAAATAGATTCGAGACGCCCTCCAGTGCATCCGGTGTAGCCCGACGAGCCACATTCATACCTGATCGCGTCGAATCCTGTCCCGACTGCTGGTCGCTCATGAATTGCTGCGCCATCTTGCTTCGGTTTGTTCTCTTGCGATTGGAACCACCAAATCCACTGCTCTTGGGGAGTTTACCCATCTCGGACACACTCACACCCTTGAGATCCTTGAGCAGATCCAAAACCAGAGCTCGCTGCTGGCGAGTATGCGCACCAGGCTTAGCCATGTACGTCGACAGCCGGTCCAGATCAGCCATGTTCACATTGGGTAGTGAGAGAAGTACGTCCCTAGGTGACGACGTGATGGGACTATAGTAGACAACAATTGTCGCAATCAGCGCGGCCAAGTCCTTCTGTAGTTCCACAAAGTAAGGCTCATGAAACGATGTGATGCAAGCTTTCAGCACATCGAGCGAGATATATTCCCGAATAGCCGAAGCTATTGCTGGCGGAATAGGAAACCTATCTGTCGCAAGATGTGCTTCCATTGGGCTTTGTAGCACAGATTTGGGCAACTGGCCATCCACAAGGTGAAACTCGGGAACCAACGATATGAACAATCGCAGAATCATGGTACAGCACCTAGTGTCTCGCACTCGGATTCCGTGGGTGCAGAAAACAAGCAAAGGCTCCACAACCTCTTGATGAGTGAGACAGAATCTCCTCAGACTGGGGTAGTCCTTGTCTTGATCAATGCCCGAACTGTTGTCTCCATTCTGAATCGGCCCATCTGAGGAAACGTTTAGTTCATTTGATCCTGACAAACCCGGAACCTCCTGTTACTTACTAGGTTTGGTGGGATCGAGGAAGTCGGCCACCATCAAGACCGCCGTGTAGGTCACTTGTCGAAGAATACTCTCCGCCTTCATCTCTTCCTTGAGGCCGGCCTCGCCATCTGCAGCCACCTCCTGTTGGCGCTGCATCTTTTCCCATTCCCCGTTAATCTTGGCATCCATCTGTTGGAAGCATGCCGACAGTAGCTGCGGGAGGAAATGTTCTCGGCAGTCAACAGGACAATCATCGACAAGGTATCTGACCAGATTCAGCAAATTACTCTGCTGATGTGTAGACAGCCAAACTGAGTCCGAAAATAGAGCGTTGGAGAGAGGCGCAGAGAGTCCTTCGAACCCGTAAAACTGCCGTTCCAAGCGACTCATGCAGTAAATAATAGCATAGGCTGTTTCGCGAACAAATCGAACCGATCCCCGGATAGTTGAGGCGAGACCTTCCATCGTGTTCTTCTTATCCATGACGCGAGCATAGAAATCGTCCTTGCTACCCTCGGAGATTCCAGCCTGCCAAAACCGATCGCTCAGAATTCGATGAACCGTCGACAATGCTTCGCCTGGTAGTCCGACCCAATTGTCGGGTTTATGCGACGCATGCGCATAAGTCAGAAACTTGAGCAGATCGGCCAAAATTTCTGGGAATCCTTCTTCCCAGAGAGCGTATGAGGCCTTGAAAGCATCTGACGACTTGTCAAGTCTCTCAACTGAGAAGGCCAGGAAGCTCTTGGTCGAACGAAGGGGAAGAAGCTTAAGTCGTTCCTCGAGTTCGTTCTGAAGGGCAAGTCCTTCAGCGTCGAGTTCCTGCGAGCCCCAATCCGCGATCTCATGTGCTCGGCGGCTAGCCATGTAGTTTTGAGCCTTGTCCAGTCCCAATAACTCACAGAAGCTAGCGTACGACTCCAGAGAGTTGCGCACGTTCTCAGTCTGCCATTGAGCCTTGACAGGGTCGATAAACTCACGTAACTTCTGAATCTTGGCCTGAGCATCCACACTGGTGGCTCGGTGTCTGTGAAGTGGTTAGCGGGCTATGACTGTGTATCGTCATTTGTATACTAACATAATGATGAAGAGAAAGCTTTTGTAGGCAATGGAGCGCTTCTCATCAAGCGATCCAGACGACATCATTTCATTGACTTTGCTCTCTATTTGGTCATACACACCCTGCGAGGTAATTAGAATGGGTCCCAAGACCAAGGTTCAAATCAACTTACCAGGAGATGATCCGGCATCTCTGAAGCCAGTCGCTGCAACTCGATCATGCTTTCACCTTGCAGGTCTTTGATAGCGTCGTTGAAAGCACGGTATTCTGGCTGGAGAGCTGGCCAGGTTAATAAAATATGCTCCAACACCTTGAGCATGAACGTAGCGTTCTTATTGAGCGCAGTAGTAGAGAAGTAGACAAGCAGCTGAAGGGTTCGCTTCCGAATCATGGGATCCTCAAAGCTCATTTCGAGTAGCTTGTTGCACCATGACTCCAGATTGGCCTCAATTTCTGGCCCTTGTTGTTGATGCTCTTGAGGTCGATGCTTGCGCCATTTGGAGTACCCCTTTAGTGTGGCCTCAATGACTGTGAATTGAGCATCAACGCGCAAGACTGGCATGGAGTGCTTGAAATAGTTTTGCTTGTCTAGGGGAGGCTGGCCGTCATAGAGATGCTGTAAAAGATCTTCTGTGCGGCCGAGAATGTGTTGGATCGCATCAACCAACTTCAACTGGACAACAGCCTCAATAATCTGAGAGCTATATCGACGATAGTTGCCCAAGAAAGCGTGTCGTTCAGGGACCGTATCTGTATCCTCCATGAGGTAGAGTAAGGTCGCGTCTTGTGTATCCTCTGGGAGATTCTCGAATCGAACCAATCTCGAACTGCATGTCTCCAGCAGGGGTGGGATGAAGGCGGAAACAAGCTCGGTTGGGCCAATCAAGCGGTTACTGAGGAGCCGTGTCCATGTGACAAGGACAGGAATAGAGACCATCAGGCTCTGATGCTGCACAACTTGTACTAGAAGCGCCAGGAAGTCTTCCTTGGCGGTATCAGCGGGTAATTTTGCAAACTTCCTGTCAAAGTAGTCCCCAAGGCAAGATAACATCTACGCAACAAGTTAGTATAGCTCTGAAATGATGCGCCACTCAACATACCTCTGATAGCTTCTTCAGTGTCTGGTATTTGTCTTCGTCAATATCCTCAGGGTCAACTGCAGACCACTCAAAAAGTTGCTTGCATAGTTGTATTGACCCAATTTTGAACATGGGGCCAACTAGATCCCGAAATTCCTCGTCATTGAAGTTAGTTCTGCAATACAGAGCATGGAGGCCTTCTAATGCAGCCTGTGCTTTGGTCAGCGCGAGTCGTTCATTGACTATTCGGGATAAGCTACCTTTTGAATGGTGACCTGTGACGAAGCTAGCCCAGCACACATAACTTCAACGCAGCGAGCCGAGGAAACAGCCTTCGGGATTGCCCAAGGCATGAGTGATAAGAACACAGATAGGCCCTTGTGTATGCACATCTTGACATCCTCGTTGTCCTTAGGTGCCTGGTTCAGACAGTAATCCAGAAACTGGGACAAACGGCTTAGCCAACCATCATCGCCATACCGCACCGGAGGACCAGGTTGACGGTTGGGGAAAGCCTCCACTAGCACCGCTGTGGGAGTAAAGATCTCAACACAAGCCTTACTCAACACACCTTCCCGCATGGCGACAACTGAGTCGTCCCCAGTGAAAACTTCATCAGAGAGATTCTCGAGGACAAACATGACGAGCTCCTTGTGCACTGGGGAATCGGCAATATCCCATAGCTGATAAAGCATAGAGTCCATGTCCATCCACTCAGCGCCCCAACATCTCTTGGCGACCTCAACCCAGAGTTGAGCGGTCTTATTCCTGATATAAGCTGGGTCCTCTTTCGCGATGGCTTGGCCAAGGCTCAATACCCATTGCCGCAGGGCATCCGTCTGTTCTAGGGTGTACGTTGACCATCGGTATCGGATCGCATGCTCTAGCAGAGAGAGGGCGTAGTGTCGAACAACGGGGGATTGCGACTTATCGGAGGCGAGATTATAGCCTTGCATAGGAGCTTCGTCGAATCCCTTGACCTCCTCGAGGAAATCCTGGGCCTGCCTACGGGCATCGTTGGACGAGTACGGGCTATGGACGACCTCAAGCGCTTGGTGGATTTTGGTGAGCACTTGAGATTCACCACCGGCGCCAGCCGAGGGCATTGAGCTCCCGTTGGCTGCCATATTGGTACCTTCGTTTTGCGGATCAATACGCGAGCGATGGATGTTTGGCGAATGTAAGGTAGAGTTCACGGAAAAGCAGAGCAGAGCAGAGCACGGGAGCAAAAGCGCTTGTTCTACGCAAGCTTTGTAACGGAGATCTGGTCACGGAGAAATATCTAGGCCAGAGCCATGGAGAGAGGCAGAAATAGGCGGGTCGTCGTTATTTGCTGTTTGGGGTTCACAGTTCGAGGTTTCGTTTGCGACGGCGGGAGCAAGATGAAGCAGATAGCGAAGCAAGCAAGCGAGGAGTCGGAAGTGACTGGGGGGGATGGTTAAATGCAAATAAAGAAAAGCAAATTATTTTTTGAGCAAAGGCGGTGAAGAAGAAAAGAACCCCAGAGTGAAGAAAAGATTGGTCACAGTATCAAGTTACTTTGGAGATGGTGAGAGTGAAAGCCAAAGTGAAAGTGGTGAGAGGGAAGTTAGGTGTTGGGCTAAAATTCAGAGCTCTCAGGCTGAAGAAAGCCGAGAGTGATCAGTGAGCGAGCCTAGACCACCTAACTTAGTAAAGCCAGCCATTGGTGGCGGGGCAGCCCCGTTTGAAACAATTCACCTTGCACACCTCATGCATGAATTTGGAACTGACAAAGAACTATTAGGGTGATAAAGTGAGAGGTGAACAAGAAAAAGAAAATACAGTCAGGAAACCTCAATAGTTCCCTGGGCTCCTTACAGTCTTGGGCTTAGGCACCACAAATGGAACATCAATATGTGACTCCTCTGAACAACTGTCAACTTATTTCTTACCATCCAATGTATCAAGCTCCTCATGCACGTCCACAGTGACACTTACAGCTGGACCCAGTCGTTGTTGGGGTCCTTTGTTTCTATGTGGTTTAACCTCCTGTATGACAGGGGCCCAACCTTTAACCAAGCTGCAAGGCTGAAAAGGAGATCGATAGGCTTTGATTCTAGCTCACGTCACTCCTATAGAGGGGTTCAGGATCATCATGCCACTACCCAATTTCGTCTACCGGCTTTAGTTGCTGCTATAAGCATCGTACATTTCTCAAACGGAGATTTGAGCCATTGAAACATAGTTATCCAAGGCAGAAGTTCACTGGCTGTACTGATAAGTAAGTGTATTTGAGCTACAGAATGTCGCCTACCAAGCGAAAGCAACCCGTGAGGCTTATTCTGTGAATTGATTTAAACTTGTGCTGTTCCACAAGTCATGAGATTGAGCTGTACATAATTTCATGGCATGGAACTGCGTACACTTTACTCTTAGTCTAACCCATTGGCTGGTACATACTGCCAAAGACAGAGCAGCTTGTCATAGAAGCTAGTCGATACACACCGCACGATATCCGAAACTTCATTACCTCGAATAAAGTCACTTCCATAGTTCATGCTCTTGTGTTCTTCAAACCTCGCCAGAATCTCGCAACTCCAGTCCTTGTCATTCTTGACCTCCAGATCCAAAAGTCTGGCGCCTGCATGCATGCATGAAGCGAGGATCCTCACTTTTATGGACTCTTCAGAATCCTGTATTTTGACCAGGTCCAATCGCCAGACACCTCCTCCTAGGTTCTGCTCAAGCACTAGCTCAACCTTTTTCATGCCGTATGATTCGTGCAGATCGTGTATAACGAAAACACGTAGATGGTCGTCATAGCTGCCAGTCACAACTACTCTGCCAGAATTCTTTCTCAGTGGGGAAAGCGGCAGAATTGCTGTGACTCCTGCATCATGTGCCCCCTTGATAGTAGCAGGCGAAAATGGCTCTTCGCACGGGGAATCAGGCTCACTTGAGTCCCAGATGCAGGACGTGTAACGAAGCATGGAGTCATCTCCACCGCAATAAGCTGCGACTTGGGCCTTATCCTTAGTTGACTCTGGTGTTGGGGGTGAGAATGCAATGCACCAAGCCTCGAGGGAATTGGCAATACTGAGACCAGCGTAATTATGAGTGATGCGGTACTCTTCGTCCAAATGTAATACTCGAGCAGAGCCTGTCGAAGTTGTGACACCAATCAGATCTGGGACCCCAGGATGCCAGTTGCATTGCAGGAACAAGACATCTTCTTCAATATCGTCACATCTGCTTGTTGATATATGCTGTAAAGGAGCTGAGGGATTTGCATTGGGGTCAAGCTTGAACACAGCCAGTGTCCCAGTGCTAGATACTACAGCCATAATATCTTCTCTCTCCTTGTGAGGGTGAAATCGGAGGTCTAGAATAGCTGATGGCTGCGAAACTGTCTGAACTAGATGACTATAATAATACCCGTCAGTCACAAATTGGATCCCAGGCAACATCAACTTACAAGTCGTCACCGATGACATTGAAGACTAGCAAACTCCCATTGCGGCTTTGTGGTGTCTTGGTCGCGGTTACAGTGTCACTGTCATCGTCGTTGTCCGTCTCTTTTTGGGCATCTTCATTTCTTTCGAGGTTATAAGTTCCAACCACGAACAAGTTGGGATGCAGATTACAGAACTGGATACAACTAGGAGGCAGATCTAAGGTTAAGGAAACCTTTGACGAAACGATTTTGGAATCATCCATGGGTGATATGGGACATTGAAGTGATATGCAGGATTTTAGAAAGTTCAAAGCAGGCAATCAACAGAAAACAAATGGAGTTCAAATGGTGGGGTCTGCCTCTTAAGTTGATATCCATTTGTAGGGTGAGACTTGAGAGATGCGATCGTCGTCAAAATTCACAGTTGTAATTTCATACTAAAGAAATCTGCGAAGCAGCCAGGTAGTTGCCAGAGCCTTCATATATATATATATATCATTTCCTATGGCATACAGTGACTAGCTATGTTGATGATCAACTTGAAGTGCAATCTACGTTGCAGGGTATAAGTTACAGGCCTCAAAGCTTAACTGCCGGACTAGCGCTATCAACACGAACTTGCTTCTGCGACTCCATCCCCTGGTCTGGGGTATTCGTCTCCTTACGTCAACACGCGCATTTCTTTATTAACTTGACTCTTTAACGGATAGGACGGCTAAGGCGGTGATTTCCGTTTTTGCATTTACAACTCTTTTGTCTTTTAACTTTTGCTTGCTGCGCAGTTTGTGCTCTTACTCACAAGGCCAACAGTCCCTGCGCCATTGCTGATTAAAACCAGGCTCTGCTTTCTTCTGACTATATCCTCCTCAATTTCAACTTAAACCAACACCATGGAATATTCCGATGATTCTGACTTCTACGGTACGCTCCGCTTTTGAATTACACCCTCATTAGCTTACAGTTTTAGGGGACGAGGATATGGTCATGGACCTTAACAAGCGTGCACAAAACTTTGATGTTCAGAGCTGGATGCTTCAGCACCAGGAAAGCCCTGGAAGACCTGTCCCTCGAAAGAGCATCGTTGCCGAAGCATCACACCTTCACAATCCCTATGCTGGGGTAAATTATGCATGGCAGCTTACCGAGACCGTAGATGAGTTCCTCGCTCGTCTCCCACCCAAGACAACAGACATCACGGAGGATACGCCTTGGATTTTTATTTGCAATCCGTATATCCCCCGTGTTGAGAAGTCTATGGGGCAGAACCAATTCAGCAAGGGTAATGAAGATGAAGCACCCGAGGAAGAAGGCAGCAAGACTGCGCTTGTCATGGAAGGTGGCCTGGAGAGACTGGAACTTCTCTCGAAGTTCAAGGACGGACTGAACAAAACCAATAAGGTCCTTGTAACACAAGAGCAAGATATGCGAAAAGAAATCAAGAAAGCCTCAGACGACATACTGCACCTGGCACACGCTGCCAAAGTCCGCGCTGGCAAGGTTTGTATCTGAAGATGTCTCGCCAAAACGCAACTGACCATTAACAGTGGATGTTATTCTGCACACCAGCAGAAGTAAACGACGTATGGGAGATTGTCGCAAAAGCGACTGCCAAAAACGAGCTTGGCATTGCTGCAAAGGTTGCTCCCCGACCAGTCGATGAGGATTCTCGAAAAGATCGACTCATCTGCGTGTACACGACCGATTTCGCAGACAAGGCCGACGTTGGCAGGGTTCTTCAGAAGCTGCGAGAGCTCAGATTGGTTGAAGCTCGAGGAAGACCTATCTACTATAAGCCAGGTGAGTCATGCTTGGGTATCGATGCCAGAAAAGTGAGGCTGACGCAAGTCGATAGATGCATATACGTACATAGGGATATCCTCCGGGAATCCCTGGGGTCTGAAAGCGTCGATCTATAAGTCGTCTGACATCTTCCAGACCTGACGACGCACAAATGACTCATCTAGCCAGGCAGAACAAGAGGGAATGTTCTATCGTGCATGGAGTACCAAAATCAAGAATCGGAGTGCATAATATAGAGAAACAAAAAAACGGATCATATCGTCATGACCTTCATAACCAATATCCTAAACGCCGGTGATTCCAAGAGTTGCTAATTCCGCATGACGCTCAAATGCTGTCGCTGACCTATGCCCACCATGTCCGTCCATGTCCACCAATGACTTCCCATCACTGAACCCCGAAGAAACATCATAAAACAACCATGCAATCGTGAAAGTTTATACGTCGATGATTTCAAGATCATTAGCGCTAGCGTCAAGGTCGATGTACTTAAGCGGCAGAACAAGTCGATATGCGCTGTTTCCATTGAGGTAATACCGGTGTAGCTTCTTGGTGCGCAAGAAACCGAGCTGTTCGTACAATCGCATAGCAGCGACGTTAGTCTCTTCAGTCTCGAGGACAATTTCGTCGGCATTGCGCTTCGTCATGGCGTCGATGGCCTTCTTGACGAGGGTTGTGGCAATACCATGGCCACGGAAGTCGGAAGCAACGGCCAACATGGCGATGTAGCCTCTTCGAGTGGGGTTCGAGTGTGAAGCATGGACTTCCAGCTTGCACACTATAACACCGATGAGAGATGAGTCGACTGGGTTCAGTGCCTGCAGAGTATTGTCAGATATCTGAGGATCGACTGGGGAGGGAATTGGTTTGACCATGAAGCAGAGATGTGCCCACTGGCACAAGAAATATCGATATACATAAATGCTATAAGGCTCACTCAAGTCCTTTGAGATCAATGCCCGGATAGCGGGTAAATACTGAGCCTCGAGGGCATGTTCGTATTGTACGTAGCGTAATTCGCCAGGAAGGTTGTCGGTTTTGGTAGGGGCCATGGGACTGTGGGAGTTTTTAAGTAAATAGAAGAGACCAGACTGATGCTGGGCAATCGGGTATACTATTGAGAGCTGTGATAGTAGAGTTGTGTTGAAGTTGATGTTTGGGTAAGATATCAAATATGGGCGTTTGAAGGTTTAAAACCAGATCTTGGCTTGACACCTAAAGAGGGGCAGGCAGAAATGGAGACTCAACCCGGTATCGGTGTGAGGGGTAGCTTAGGTAGGTGATACAGGGTGTCAGGGAGGAAAGGAAGAGGCAGTTCAGTTCGGGTCCAATGGACAAGAGTCATTAATTCAAGAAAGAGGGTGGGAAGATCTCAAGATTTGGGGCTGAAGGTGGCAATATGCAATGCATTGGAGGCATCACAGCCAACGCCTCCAACAATAATTACCAGGTTTGGTAAACCGCACCAAAGAATTGATGCACATGGCCACGAGGGCAAGGCACGCAGGGCCGTTGGCAGGGATTTATTTTGCTGTGCTGCAGAGCCAAGGACGCTATTTTAGAGCTTTTTGATGTTTTGTGGAGGGGGGCGGGGGCATTGGAGTGAAAAGGTCCTGCATGGCTCTGGCTATTGCATCGTTAACAAAGTGGTCCGATCAAGCCGATATAAGCGCTGGACAAATGCGTCTTTCAGTAAAGTCAATTTGAACTGGGTAAGGAAGACATACTACTAGAGAAAAGGTCTGAATTCGTTCATGAGTTGAAAGTTTCAAGCATGTGATAATGACAGCTCACAACTCCACAGCATGATATATCCCTTCTTCGTGGAATTCACTAACCCTTAAGAAGACGAATTTTAGATTGGATGCTTTGACTCTTTTGTCCCTATGTAATTTCGGCCTCTTCCGTTTAATCCGTTCGGCACTTTAATGTAGCCTTATCTTGGCTTTGACGTCAGGTTCCTGCCTATCAGGAACAGCAAGCATGTCCTTTGAATGAGCCCCCTCCCTGGACACTTAACAATTTTCATGTGATGCACGCGAATTTCTAAACATGGCGCAACTTCTTTATAATTACCACGATCCGTGGCTTTGACAAAACTTCCATTATCATTAGCAGACATTCTCTCACGTATAAAATAGACCAGTCGGTGTCTTTACTTTACAACTTCCGCTGACAGATGATACGATTCCTTAGACTTCGTTCGGGCTTTGCGACCACCCCGTTTTTTGTTTTAGATTTAGAGCACGCGCCCACCCGCACCTAAAGTGTCTATGGGCGTCATAGCTACGTGCAGCGACATTTCTTAAACTTCCAACAATTTCCCCAGTCTATCTTGGTCGAGGGTCTTTTTTCCTCCCAAACAACTGACTAAGCAAGACGACGCCTCACGGAGGCTTGTTCTTGGGTCGACAACATGGCGAATAACCTGCGACGCCGAAAGGCTCAGGATCAAGATCCAGATACGAAAACGAACGAGAGCGACGATACTTCAAGGGAGGAAAGTTCAGCGACCGACCCGACAACGCACGTTCGTGTTGTCGAGCACGCCGTTCCTAAGACCCGGAAGCGTCGCAATACCTTTATTTTCTTCCTTGGTAGTTTGTTTGGAATCATCGCCGCCGGGTTTTTCGCTTCCAGCAATGATCTCATCGACCTTCCCGAGTTCACCGACTTGTCCATGGACAACCTATTGGATGCTCTACCAGCTGGATTGGTCAAGGACATACGCGATCTAATCCAAGGCGAGCGCGACTTTGCAGAATCATACGAGCCATTCTCTGTCGGAACCAAAGCACGAGCCGAAGGTCTTGAAGCATACCATCCTATGATTATGATACCAGGCGTTATTTCGACTGGACTCGAGTCTTGGGGAACCGCCAATGTCTCAAAGGCTTACTTCAGGAAGCGACTTTGGGGAAGTTGGACCATGATGAAAGCCTTGGTCATGGACAAGGAGGTCTGGAAGAAGCATGTGATGCTCGATAAGAGGACGGGGCTTGACCCGCCGAACGTGAAATTAAGAGCTGCCCAGGGTTTCGATGCCACAGATTTCTTTATCACTGGATATTGGATCTGGAGCAAGATCTTCGAGAATCTCGCTTCGGTTGGCTACGACCCGACAAACTCTTTCACAGCTGCTTATGACTGGCGCTTGTCCTACCCTAACCTCGAGGTGCGAGACCGGTATTTCACTCGACTCAAATCACACATTGAAGTTGCGCTGGAGGTTGACAACAGAAAAGTTGTCTTAGCATCGCACAGCATGGGTAGCCAAGTCCTGTTCTACTTCTTCCACTGGGTGCAATCAGAGAGAGGCGGCCGTGGTGGTCAGGACTGGGTTGAGCGGCACGTTGAGGCTTGGATCAACATCAGTGGATGCATGCTCGGGGCAGTCAAAGATTTGACTGCTGTGCTGTCTGGTGAGATGCGCGATACAGCTCAGTTGAATCCCTTTGCTATCTATGGCCTGGAAAAATTTCTGAGCAAGGAAGAAAGGGCTGAAATTTTCCGCGGCATGCCTGGTATATCATCTATGCTACCCATTGGTGGCAACGCTGTCTGGGGCAATCTGACATGGGCACCAGATGACTTGCCAGGTCAGAATCGTTCGTACGGATCTTTATTGAACTTTAGGGTCGGGTCGAACTGGACAACCCCTGATCGCAACTTCACTGTTGAGGAGGGCTTGTCCTACTTACTTAATACGACTGAGGACTGGTACCAGGATCAGCTCAAGGGCAGTTATTCGCGTGGCATTGCTCACACCATCGCTGAAGTCGAGGCCAATGAGCTAGACCCCAAGAAATGGATCAACCCTCTTGAGACCCGACTACCACTTGCACCTAGCCTCAAAATTTACTGTTTCTATGGCGTCGGGAAGCCTACCGAACGAGGATACTACTACAGGTCCCCTGACCAGCCTCTGACGACAAACCTCAACATCACCATGGATACGGGCTTTACCGAAGGAGACGTCGATCACGGCGTTATCATGGGTGAGGGCGACGGAACTGTGAATCTCCTTAGCACAGGTTACATGTGTAATCATGGTTGGAACATGAAACGCTACAATCCAGCAGGTGTCAAGGTCACAGTTGTCGAAATGCCGCACGAACCAGAACGTTTCAACCCTCGAGGAGGACCTCGAACAGCTGACCACGTCGATATCTTGGGGCGATACAACCTGAACGAGCTGCTACTGCGGGTGGCTGGTGGAAAAGGTGACACGATTACGAACTATGTTGTCAGCAACATTAAAGAATATGCATCTAGAGTCAAGATTTACGATGATCACCACGAAGAGAACGAGGAGGAAAAGAGGAACTCATAGATTGATTGCCTCACAGCGTTTTTGGTAGCGGTCTTGGTGGTGTGATGTATTTGGTAGTGGCTGCTAGCATTGTCTGGCGTTTGGGAGTATTCACCTTATATATTGTGCTTCGGCTTGGTATCCTCAAAGCCTGATGCTGAATGGGGACTTCAAAGAGGGTCGTTTAATTTGTATTAACTCTGACAATAGCGAAAGTTTAAAGATTCCATAGAATTCATCTTGTATCCGATTATACATTTGAGGCGACATCCTGGTGGAGTATGTTTGAATCATCCATCCAACTGGTATCTGATCAACCTGTGGCGGTGCCTGCTATCAAGACCGTGACATGCTGGTACCAGCCACAATTATTTACAGTAACAAGGATTCATAGTGTTTACATGAGAACCAATGTTGATGTAGTCTACGCTCTGTTCTGTTGTCGCTGTTGCTGTGTGGTCCGCCAAGACAGCGCTCAACAGGCCTCCATGAGGTCACGGTACAACTAAACGGGCTTATAGCAACAACTGAGCCTCGACCCCGCCACCTGAATTCTCGAAACACAACCATAGCACAAACTTGGGCTTCGGCTTTGATATTTTTTGCTCCATCTCGGGTCCTGGTCTCGTCACCTCCAGGAGATGACCACCACGTTCACGTCTATCCTTGGAAGCCATTGTCAATTGGCCCGTCGTCTTGTCGTATCTACTCAGCGCAACGTCCCCGATCAGCTTCGTATCACGCATATCCAGTCTCAGCAGGACTCGATGCCTTGGTCCCTGTACCCTTACGGAAACGAGGATCATGGCAGATTTAGAAGAAGTGTCTTACTCTCATGAGGAGGATGAGGAACAGCTATGGAGTGGTGAGTTTTGGTTCCTAGGGTCGCTACCAAAAAAGGACACGAAATGACTGACATGATCGGTCTTCGCAGAACTTGACAAGTGCGTTTCGAGCAAATGCGATTCCCACGAAACGATCGACGATGCCCTGCGCACATGGATAGATTTAACGACACGCCTCCGCGACCTTCTCTACGAATCTCAGGAAGAAATCATTACTTGCACGCGGATGCTCCTCGCCAGCGATCTATTTCAGGCCAACAAAGACTATGTTCGCACTCAGATTATCTACAGCTTACTTCAAGAAGATGAGGCTGGGCCTCTGCATGCTATTGTTTCTCTTCTTCTCCTCGACGGGTGCCAGGATGAGACCATGTTCCCTCGCATGGTGAACGAAGCTTGCTTCCCCCGACTTTTGGAGCTGATCAATGGTCGCCGAGATCAGGACCCCGGTCTGCATCGCCTTCTTCTGCAGCTTATGTACGAGATGTCGCGTATGGAACGACTTCGAGTCGACGATTTGACTATGGTGGACGATGAATTCGTCCATTACCTTTTCGCATTGATTGAGGAGTTGTCAGACGATGCGCATGACCCTTATCATTATCCCACCATCCGAGTTTTGGTAAGCAGCTTCCATCCCCCCTAGCTGCAATTTCTTACATAGACGCAGCTTGTCTTGAACGAACAGTATATGCTTGCGTCGACCGAAGTCGGCGATTCTGCTTCTCCCAATTCGCCCCTGACGAACCGCATTGTGAAGTGCTTAAGTCTTCATGGGGCGTCGTTCCGAACGTTTGGTGAAAACATCATTTTGCTCCTGAACCGAGAAACCGAAACATCACTTCAGCTACTCATTTTGAAGCTTCTGTATTTGCTATTCACGAACAAGGCGACATACGAATACTTCTATACGAACGACTTACGAGTACTTTTGGACGTTATTATTCGAAATTTGATGGATTTGCCAGATGAAAAAATGTCCTTGAGACACACATACCTACGAGTCCTTTACCCGTTATTGGCACATACGCAACTCAGCCAGCCGCCTCACTATAAGCAGGATGAGATTCTGCGTGTGCTGAACATTCTCCGAGGCTCGCACAATGTTCACTTTGCACCAGCAGACGACACAACTCTTCGTCTGGTCGAGCGTGTATCAAAGGTCAAGTGGATAGAAGAAGCCCAATCCCCCACGGTAGGACCCGGCGAGGCTGAAGTCGCCCGCAGATTCCTCGGCATCAGCCTATCACGCTCGCAAACCGCCAGTAGTATCAGTGTAAGCGACGTCGCGGCCGTTAAGGAGAAGCCGGGAGTGCAGACACCGAGTCGATCAGGCGATGGAGGCGACGTTGCTGCAGATGACGAGAACGTCACAATAGCTGCTCGACCCAAGAAGCCTTTGCCAGAGGTGCCAAAACATCGCCATGGAGTACCATTTGCGCAGAAGTTTGTCAACGGGGGGCCGAAGAAGACACCCCCAAAGGCGCCGCCGCCGCGACGATGGGGACGGATGAAGACGGTTGAGAAGCCCCCTGCTGACCCGGTTCAGGAAACAGTTCCAGAGCAGGAAGCTTGATACTAGTGGACAACTGTTATTCTCCAGGGCATGAACTTCAAAACAGTAACATCCCGCTGGGCGGAGGGCACCGGTCGATAACAATCACTGTGCGCTAGGGGAGACTCGGTTTGACGATGGCGTTTGTGGAGCTTTCTACTGTACTTGGCTGGACACAAAGCATAAGGCACGGCGTTTTTGGGTGGTTTTGGAATCGGTCTTGGTAATGGGTTTGGGGAGATTGTAAGTAAACCGCGGCAAGTCTCTTTTTACGTGCTACTGTGTATTAAGAGCATTGTAGAGTCAGTATTAGTGACGAGAATTACCTATAATTATGTTTGACAATGGCATGTGATGGTGGCATCATTGGGTGAACTGCGCAACTTGGCAATGTCTTGAAAGCCATTAGTGAGTAACGATAGAGCTGAAGGTGTCTAAGCCGTCCTTGGATGCCTCTTGTTAATATCCCTCAGGGTGGATGTCATCGGCAGTCACTGTACAGTGCCGAGCCGGGATGCGGCTTATACAAACAAGATTAACTCAGATTTCATGGAGTTTTGCGACGAGTTTATCAAGATCCACAATCTCCATGCGGAGAAGATTGCAAAGCCCTTCCTAGTTTGAATATCTACGAAACACCGAAACAGCAAGTTGCAGATCCGGGAGACGGCGATGCCGAGCAGATCTCAGCTTCAGTAGTGAAGTGGATACAGCCGCGAGGTCTATAAGTAGTGCGATTCAAGGGGATTGGCCGCATGTGAGATTGGGCACAGCCTGCGGGGGTAATGACGATCGTCGTTGCGTTGGGTTGCGGCTTGTAGTTAGTGTGAGGGCATCACCATCACCAAAACCAAGATCAAGGGGATGGACCCTTCTGGTGGCGTCCGTCTACGTCATATGGTGGGGAAGACGCGTTGGAAAACTGGCTGCAAGCAGCTGAGCTGGGGTGTTCTTTGGGACCAAGATACTTGCGAATACCTGCATAAGCTAGATGTGGTCCTAGCACTAGAGATGGATAGGGGGAGATTAGTGACCCCAGTCCATGTCGCTAATGTATTTGCAAGTACCGCTAATAAGCCCATTAGGTGTAAGTGCCATGGGCTCTCTTGGCGTGCAACCAGAGGAACTCAATGCCCCCCTTCTCCAAGCCCATCAACTGCATCATCCATTCATAACAAACATCACGGTCCAGTATCACCAACACAATCTACATCTGCCGCCTCTTAGACTTGACCGTGCTCTAGGCCTATCTTTGGCGCTTGTTGACTCAGTTGATTCCGACTACGCTCACTCTTTTCCTCAGGTACAAGCTCCTTACTGAGATCGAGGCTGAAGAGTAAGTACCTTGCTCTCTTTTGCTCTTTGCTTCACATTCACCTGCAACAACGGACTGGAAACTCCTCCATTGTGGAACATATAGATCACCTTTGATCTTCAGTATATTTCTATTACCCGCTGATTCTCAATCCTCTACTCCAAAGTTTCCGCCCAAGCTCCTCCAAACAGAAGAAGCAACAGAGCCAAGGTACGCACGTCGTCGATTCACCATCATCATTGTCTCAGAAAGTTCCTCCACTTCAACGAGAAAAAGAGACGCTAGTCTCACGCTTTGAACCTCAGAACCTCACAAGGCCTCCAATCTGGTGTTAGCGGCAATCTGCCAGCAGTCAGGTTGTGCGCCCATTGCGTCAACACCATCATCCCGCGAGCTCTACACCCTGATTTTTTTGGTTTTGCTCTGCCTGTACAAGCTTGCCCAGCAACCGGTTCAGTCCAGTCCAGCCCGACTGGAGCCCCTCCACTCAGTGCCAATACTGACTTTCTAGGTTCCAGGCTCTTCTCCCCTTCCGTCTCGGGTCCGTCCCCCAGCTCCTCGTGGTCCATTCCGTTGTTTCTGTTTCTCTCCGTTGGTCCTTGCTTGCTCTAGCTCAAGTTGTTAAACTACGGTACTCGGCTTGGGTAGGACTGTAGGAGAAATAACAACGCCACCTCCGCCATGGATCTACCTCCCTCTCATTCTCAATCTCAACCTTCGTCATTTCCCCAACAGCCGTCTTATTCATACTCGTACGGTCACGATTCTTCTCCAGAATCATCCTCAGCTTCCCACCAGCGTGCAACCGCTGCTAATACCGCCACCAACGCACACGCACATTCACATTCTCAATACGACGATACCTACAATCTGTCAAATTCGATTCACGCACCGCAACCGCTGTCGCAACAAGGAGGTCGTTTCACCGAGGAATGGGGTGCAGCACCACGCGGGCCTTCAGTCCTCCTTGATTATCCTTCACCCAGCGCAAACATGCAGCGCAGCAATTCGGTACATAGCTTCATGGCTGGCGATGACCAGCAGCTCCCGGCTCGTCAGAACACACTCAAGAAGAAGAGTTCGGTCCGCCGAAATGGGAGTCTCAAGCGTAGTAGCAGCCGTCGCTCTATGAGAGCGGGCAGTGTTAAGAGTCTTGCCTTACAATCCTCATCAGACCATGATGAGGCGCATAGTGCTTTCTATTGCCCGGTCCCCACGTCGGGCAATCCTACCGAGACACTCTCGAACCGATTCCAGAACTGGAGAAAGGTGCTCAAGGATCTCATCGCATATTTCCGCGAAATTCAAAACCACTATGAACAACGCTCCAAGTCGCTCCTCAAACTCGCCAATGTGGCTAACAATATCACCACGCCACCTGGTTTCCTTCAGACAGCTGGAATCGATGATGCGCTCCAATTTCTACGAATTTACAACAAGAATGCCATCCTCGAGGCCAACAAAGCCAAAGAAATTGAAGAGGATGTTATTCTTGCACTCACTGGCTTGAGGAGCGACCTCCAACAGAAGATTAAGGAGATCAAGAACCTCTCAGGCGACTTCAAGAACTCAGTCGAGAAGGAGATGGACCACACTCGTAAGGCTGTCAAGACTCTCAGCGATATTCTTGGCAGAAATGAGTTGGATGAATCTTCAACCACTGGCAAGCAAGATCCATACCTTCTGCGCCTGGCCGTCGACCGTCAAGTTGAGCGTCAATTAGACGAGGAGAACTACCTCCACCAAGCTTACCTCAATTTGGAGAATTCCGGACGAGAGCTGGAGGCGATCGTTGTTGGAGAGATTCAGAAAGCATACAACGCTTATGCTGGCATTCTTAAGCGCGAGGCTGATAATTCTTATAACGTCATTGGCGAGCTTCGAGATGGTCCTATTGCCATGCCCAAGGACCATGAATGGATGCATTTTGTGACCCACAACGACAAGTTCGTGGACCCGAGCATTCCGCTCAGGACACCGGACCAGATTCATTATCCCGGACAGGACCATGAGGCAGCCCAGGAGATTCGAGCCGGATTGTTGGAGCGCAAGAGCAAATACTTGAAGAGCTACACAGCTGGCTGGTAAGTTTCCGTTGGCAAAACGTCGTGATCGGAGAAGTTAACCAAGTTGCTAGGTATGTACTTTCCGCTACGCATCTCCACGAATTTAAGACAGCGGACAAGGCGCAAGCCCCTATCATGTCTCTTTATCTTCCAGAACAGAAAGTAGGATCCCACTCCAACGAAGGAGGCTCTTCGAACAAGTTCATCCTCAAGGGTCGCCAAACAGGCGGCATGCACCGCGGACACACGTGGGTCTTCCGTGCCGAAAGTCATGACACTATGATGGCTTGGTATGAGGACATCAAGGCTCTCACCGAGAAGACCGCCGAGGAGCGAAGTCAATTCGTGCGAAGCCATTCGAGAAGCCTCAGCCGATCATCCCGACGATCAGTTAGTAGCGATGGACTGGTCGACGAGGAGGACGAGGAGCCCTTCACGGCCGATACTGAATCATTTACCAACCCGGGACCAAGACAACATGAGGCGACTCCCCGGCGATCTCAAGCAGGTGGGCGGTTCCCATCTGATATCCAAGTCAATGCGCAACGTGGCTTACAGGCCCCTCATTCGCCTTCTAGTGTAAGCTCTGGCTTCCAGGACAACAGGGACCCCGCTGTACCACCGATTATCACGGGTGCCCTTTCTGGTCCGGCCGCTGGAGAATCGGGGCAGAGCAGGGATGACCATCCGGGCTATGGGACTGTTCACCAGACGCCCATGGATGAGATGCCCTCGCATGCTGCAATCGCAAGCCAAAAGGCCCATTACGACGGTGTTAACCCTTATACGAGCGAGCCGGTCAACCAGACTCCCGTTGAGCCGACCCCCCTCCACCAACAGCAGCAGCAATACCAGTCACAGTATGAAACGCAGCATCAGCAGCCTGTACAGCTTTCAGACTACGTCGATCAACACCATGACCAAATTTTTGTTCCTGTTGTGATCCCCCAGGGTAAGGATGAGCGCGATGGCAATTTCGCCAATACTGAACAACGCCACTTTGATGAGCAGCCTAACAATCATACTATGGAGCCACGAGATGAGCCATACAGTGGATATACAATCGGTGGAGCTGGCCATGAGACATCGAACTATGAGCAGCCTTCATATCCTCAGGCCTCATATGACAATCAACCCAATCACAACTATGCCAACGGTAATGCCAAGGGCAACAGTTACACCCTGACAACTGTGGGAGAGGGGTTTCCCAGACTTGATGGCGGTGCAACTGAAGAGCGTCGGCCATCAACTCGAGGAGGCGAATCAGTCTATACAGAGCGTGACTCTGTTCTGCTCCAGACAGACGATGAAGATGATAAGCCTATCCCAATCCGACCGTCCGGCAACAACCGGACTGAGAGCCATAACACCATCTCGAACCTGCATATTCCTGGCGGCTATCCTAAGAGCACTCAAGCATAGGATGGAGCATCAGTGTTTGAGTGTTTTCTTCTTTGTGGGCCCTTTGTCGTTTCCTTATTGTTAGTTTTATTTTGTTCTGATGGAGACGAACGATTTAGGAGGATGGTAAAGCGTTGGTAAAAGGACTATCAGCGTTGACTGACGGGAGGCGTTGGTCAATTGTGTGGACGGGACGGTACGGTATGGTACGGTTTGAAATGGGATATCCCTCGTTTGGCTTTGGATTGGTTTTGCAACATATTTACTTGGATCAATGTGATAGGATATCGTTAGTCTGTTTCAATTGATTGAAAGGTCCAGCGCGTATCATGAGTTTACTGTTACTTAAAGTTGACGAGACTGTATATTAGCGGCCAAAAAAAGATATTCATTCACCTCCAGTGTCTCTCAGCAAGTTCCATCAGTTATGTCACTGGACTTTCATTTACCAACACGGCATCGGCAATACGGTTTTTCCGCCCCATCTTGCACCAACCAATGGGGCCGCTCTAAGCTAGCTCCCGCCAGACCTTCGGTGGACACTCTCTTTGCAAAATTTCACACGGCTAAAAAAAAGTTCAGTATTCGACCTACGCGAAAACGATTCCAAGGCCCGAACGAACGACTAAAACCCCAGCTACGGGCATAAGCCGAAACAAAATCGAACGAGCGGTCAAATCGCGAAATCCTCATCTCTTAGATTTACATCAATTGGCGACAGCGCAAACTCGATAATCATGTCTTTCCGTGGAGGTTCGCGTGGACGCGGCGGTAGTGGATTTGGAGGCCGTGGCGGTGGTACGTCTTTATTTCTTCGTTGCGTGGTTGATTTTGGGGAAACTGGCTGTTTGCGATGGAAGAGATGTCGAAATGGTGCGAATTGAGGCTGGGATCTTGGAGTGATTAGCTCTAATAGCGGTGTTTGCATGGAATCAAGATCAACTACTAACGAACTGTTTCTAGGCCGTGGTGGCTTCCAGCAGCGAGACATGGGCCCTCCTGCTCAGATCCTTGGTATGTCTATCATCATGTTCTGTCTGATATCTCAAACTAACACTCCCAGAAATGGGCAAGTTCATGCACGCTTGCGAGGGCGAGATGGTCTGCGAGTCCATCAACCCCAAGGTCCCTCACTTCAACGCCCAGATCTTCCTCGAGAACAAGACTGCCGTCGGAAAGGTCGACGAGGTCCTCGGCCCCATCAACCAGGTCTTCTTCACCATCAAGCCCACAGAGGGTATCCAGGCCACCTCTTTCAAGGAGGGCGACAAGTTCTACATCGGTTCAGAGAAGCTTCTGCCCCTCGACAAGTTCCTCCCCAAGCCTAAGCCCCCGCCTGGAGCTCCCAAGCCCAAGCGTGCCGGTGGCGGTCGCGGTGGTGCCCGCGGTGGACGCGGCGGCTTCGGTGCCCGGGGCGGTGGCCGTGGTGGTTTCGGCGGCGGCCGTGGAGGTCCTCGAGGTGGTGCTCGTGGTGGTTTCGGTGGCCGCGGAGGTGGCCGTGGTGGCAGTGGTGGTTTCTCACGAGGTGGAAGCGGCTTCGGTGGTGGTCGCGGACGTGGTGGCTTCAGCCGCGGTGGCCGATAATCTCCCTACCACGATGACGACTACGGATCACTTCTGTTACTAGGGAGGACTAAGTCGACGCCTTAAACTGCTGATGTAGCACTACGCGACCTACGAGAGCTGCTTGAAGGGAGTCGGGGATCGAAAACCATGGAATCTTGGAGGAGGGAAAGAAAGAGGAAAGAAAGAAAGGGATTGACATGTATTTCTCTGGCGTTGGACGGTATCTGATTTTCCAAAGTGCTTTGCTTGGTTTGGCTTTCCCCCATGGCTCTATATCCCAAATCCTGCGATTGCGATGCTCGTATGATACGGCATTGGATTGGAGTTTGTATGTACAGACACAAGAGGATTCAACGAAGAAGACAAGAGAGAAAACGAAAAGAACGGGCAACCTTTTAACTTTACTCATGTGTTTATTGTGACATGTATATGTTCGAAATATTTTTTGTAAATCTCGTGTCCACGCTCACGGGCTATATATAAAGCTCGAAGTCTCTAAGCTCCTGGAACGCCATGCAAACAATCGAAATCACTCCCCTCGACGTCTTAGTGACGCCGCGCACAATAAGCCTAGGGCCAAGATAAAGGCCAGCCCTCCCAATCCTAGGCCAAAGTATTGCGCATCTCGATATCCTCCCAAAGGATTCTTGTCACTACTTTTCCCCATTTCCACAGCTCCCGCCATGCCCAGCCCTACCGAAAAAGCGAAAGCTGCTGCTGTATTAGTGATGCTGTTTGCGAGTCCAAGTTGTCCCTCTGGCACATCTCGTCCGAGCACTGTCGAGGAAGCGGGAACAATCGACACCATGCCAACCCCCATGAAGATGGCGCTGACAAATGAGTTGGCCCAATATGCTTGTTGAGTTGGAGCTGTCGCCAGGAGAGCCGAACTGATCAGAATGGCGATTGATGAGACCACCATGCTCAACTGTGCTGTAAAATCGCGGTTTGCGAAGGGCCAACATGCGAAGGCGATGACAACACCAACCACTAGTACTGGCACAAGAGCAGCACTCGTAAGAAGAGGACCCCAACCTCTGACAACTTCGATGAATTGGACGAAATACCATACCCAGACTCCAAATGCTGCTGATGCAGCTGTCACGAAGCCAAGTGTGATACCAGCGGCCAGATGAATCTGCTTAAACGGCACCAACGGGTGACTGGCATGTGATTCGAAGAAAGTGAATAGTGGTACAAGTATAATGCCTGCAATGATCAGGATGTACGCCTGCGGAGTATCCCATCCCACAATGGGCGCCTGATTCCAACCAACGCTGAAAAAGATCAAGGCAGCGATTCCAAATACGAAACCCAATATATCTAGCCGCTTCCACAGGTTGCCTTCAAAATTATAGACCAAGATTCTCTTTGCTGGGACGACAAGCACGCTTGAAATGCCCAGGGCTGTACATACCGCGGCCAAGCAGTAAAAGGCCCATGGCCACGAGGCGTAATTAGCAAACAGACCTGTCATGACCGATCCAATGACAAACCCGAAAGGGACAGAGGCATCGAATAATCCCATCACAAGCATCTTGCGAGGCCCAGGTGGATAGGCCCTCACCAGCATTCCGTGTCCATTTGGAATGATGAGTGCAGGGCCGATGCCTTGCATAGCTCGGCAGAAGCAGAAAAAGACGGCTCCTCCACTTTCACTCGTCTGTACATACACACTCAGACCAGCAAGAAGACTCCAAAGGGCGAACCAAATATATCCGGCGATGAAGGTATATCTCTGACCGCAAACATTCCCAATTCGGTTGCCAAAAAGAGTTGTCGCGCCATAACTCAGTGTATACGCTGATGTGAACCAAGCAAGGTGTGTTGTACGCTCTGGTTCGAAGAATGACTCTCCAATTCGTCGTGCAGATGTCACTGTCTGTGCAAGACTGGCATATGTCAAAACCTGCGCCATACATATGACAGCAACAAAAAGGCTTTCATTGGTGGCATGGTTGAACTCGATCATCCTGGCTCCCTCGCTCAGGGGTTTCCTTCGCAAACCTTGACTTGCGGGTGAAGAAGGATCCGAGTCGGATCCCGCACGAATTTGGGTGACCGTGCCTAGTGGGAGAGATCGTGTGCCCATGTCAGGCCTCAGGGCCATGTATTGGTGATGCTGTGTTGTTGATCGGAAGGCTTCGAAGTGTCTGGCAGCTCGGACAAGTCCGCCATGGTTGACCGAGAAGTCCGATAGTGTTGGACCTGTACTATAAGCAGTAGTTTCATTTGGACGAGGCTCAGCCAGGTTTACTGGAACGCTGAATCGTGGAGGTGGTGTATGAGGCGTATCTAATCGCGGTGGTAAGTTTGGTGTTGCCAGTCGAATCAGATCTTCAGGGACTTGTGCAGAAGTCTCAGCCATTTCCGATTCCATGTCTCCGTCAAGGAAAGAATCCGTCTCGACATTTGGAGGTCGTCCTGGCATAAGTCTTGTGGGTATATAATTGCTTCGACGAGGTGAAACGGGTGAAACAGTCATCTCTGATACACTCATCTGGCTCACTATGTCCATGTCTAGCAAATTCACATTCTGGGATATTTCGCTGACGCTTGAAGGACTTCGAGCATGGAAATGTGAACATGACTGAGAATTGGAACGAGAGTGAGAGTGATTTCCAGGCTGAGAGTGAGAATTGAGGTTTGTGTAAGTGGGAGCCGGTGCTGCTGGAGAGTAACCACTATATTGTTGCTGATAATGATGGCGAAAAGATTCGGTGACGGCAATCATGGTATCGGTGACATGTTGAACAGCAGAGTTAGATCGATTTATTTCTCGACGGGCCTCAGACTTTTCAGAGTCTTGTCGTGATACGCTCCGAAGCGGCTCCATTGTGAAGTTGGTGAAGTAGTCAGCAATGCCAGGGTTAGCAATAGTCACCCCTCATATCCTCGTTTGTGAGGTTATTTGGGAGTTGATTATGGTGGAAGGAAAGTGGGAAGATGTTATTAGTCAATAAAGCAGATGATCAGGGCTGCAGAATCATCGTAACTGAATCAGAAATCAAGCAATTGCGATATAGTCAGGGACGCTTGGGGTAATAAGTTGATGAAGAAGGCTGCGCTTACAGCTTACAAGGAAGACAATAACCCATGCCTCGAGCTGTACGTGGGCATGTCGGCTCATAGAATGGAAGCTCATCCATACCACTCAGTAAGCCTTCAGGGCTGACTCGCCCCCGCAGCTAAGCTTAGCTTTTAAGGCTCAGACTCTGGTTCAGGGTCCGGAGGTTTAGGACCTGATACTTCCATGTCTTGGCCCAGCCGTTAGTTTTTGAACCGAGATGAGGGTGGGTAGCGTAGTGTATGGGTGAGCCAGAAATAGAATCATCAATCTTGTAAGTCGTCACAAACTGTGAGAAAAAGAGACTTTCGCCTCTGTGAGGATTCTTGTTGGTAGTGATCTGCTTGTCACGATAATTAGTCCTCCTTTCGGTAACATCTGACTTGCATTACAGGTTCTGCATTCACATTGAACAAAGCTCAACTGGCAGGGGATGGGAGAGACTGGGCTGTTCAGAAAGTCGGTGATGCATTGACATAAGCGGTTACAGGGAGTAGCGTAAAAGTCGGGTTGGTCTATCAATCAAGGTCTTGTTGGTGATGATGGGAGAAATGAAAATAGTGGTGTTAGTGATATAGTAGTGGAAGGCACCTAGGTCCCTCTGGTCAAAGCGGCTCCGACTAACAAAGACATCAACACGGCAAGAGGCAATCTACGCTACTCCTGCTGTTCTCAGGCTGCCATTCACTGGTTATCAATCGCCGATATTATTCTCCCTCTGGTTCGCTCAGTGTAGTGTCACAGCATCATAGGCATCATCATCGGTGCAACCAAAAATCCAATTGGGTGTTATTCCTCTCATATCCTGATGATCAGATCCCATCCTTGTCTATCATCAACAGCACAGCCACCCGTCACTCTCTAGAGCCTGTCTGCCTGTTAGTCCTAGCCTAGGATCTTTCAACAGCACAGCCTCAAAATATCACAATCCATGTCTTATCCTGAACAGGTTCTTTGGGTCTTGAGCTTCTAGCTCCAACGCCTCTGACCACATGTTTCAGACTCAGATGGCGTTGATTGGTCTGTATCAGATTGGTGAAGACTCAAACTTTTAATCGTTCTGGTCTTCTAGTAAGACAAATTTTGTTATTTTCTCAACTGCCTCCAGTTTATGAAGATCCTCCCCGCCGTCTCGTCCTCCCAGTCTTATTCAGTACCGGGAATCCGGCACCCATGCCTCATCATGGTTTGTCGATCCACTCACAGCAGAGCCTCGGATTGTGCGTAAACATCACGTATGGCTCTATTTTTGGTCATGTCTAGCTTCCAATGCTCAATCATCACGTCTATAGAGAACCTGGGAGTGCATCCTAGCTTTTTGTAAACCTTATGCTGGTTGACACTTATAAAAGCTCAACAGGAATACTAGAATATGAGGAGGGTCTAACTCCATATCCTGCTGGCTTCGAATATCGACTCTCTTAAGCGAGAATCACTGCCTCCACGTCCTGAATGAATGGAATGAGACCGATAACAGGCACTCTGTTTTTAATTATGAAACGGACATCATCATTGAGAGCCATGCTTCCCCATCACAACTATTCCACCGTCACATCTTATCACTATGTGACATCAAGCCGGTCACGTTATACGAACAGATCATGGTTCAGACCACCGAGCGACTCGATATAGCTAGGTATGTACTACGCATATATCCACAGTGCTATGCTTATGATAAACAGAACCCGATTCAAAGTTGTCACCTAAAATTCAAGCACTAAGATAAGGAATGTATGGGTATCATGAACTACCATTGTTTCAATGAGCTGCGTGAATCATGTCCTGTCCAAACCCCCAAAACCCCAAATGATAATGTCTCCGAGCGTGTGCGCTGAACCCCTTTTGTCCCTTATGTTTGTCCTTGCGAACTTCCTGTTGAACCCCCTACTCGATCTCAAGATACCCCCAGTGATGACAAACGCATGCTCAGATCCAGACTACATGACCTCTACTCCACCCAATCTTTGAGTGCAGCTGCACCAAACCAACGTACCATGTTAAATGGCAATATCGGCTATCGCTTAAGGCTTGGGTATACGGATTGTCTTGCTGGTCATGAGGCAGCCGTGAATCATGAACAAAATGACGGCAGGGTGGAACTCGAAAGCTGAACCCTGGAACCAGACACCAAAGGGGAGATTGTCATGAACCCAGCGCTGCGAGAGCCAATAGGCCATGATAGCGTCCATGCCGAGCGAAGTGGGAATGGGAGTTCCTTCGAAATACTGGCTCTTGCCAGAGGCGTCCTTCGGAAGAACCGAAACGGTAACGTTGAAGCGGGCGAGGCGAGTGAGGCCACACAGAACGAAGAAGGTAAGTCCAACAGTGTCGGCAAGCGAACG